CTTGTTAATAAGCAGATATAGTTTAGGAATAACAAAACATTCATTTAGTAAAAACTGAACATTCTCTAAATTCGAAAGATTTTAAATTGCTTTTTACCTTCTTTTCATGCCATACTGTGCAAGTACGACATACTACAGAAGTGCTTAAAGAACTTATTAAGTATTTATTAAGGTCAATAGCAAAAATGAAAATAAAACTACAGGCTTTTAAAAAATTGTTAGTATAATCTACTGCTTAAATTTATCCTCATTAATATTTACAAATAGATTGGTCTGCAGAAATAAAGTTCATTTATTTAGAAACTCAAATGCTGGACATGTTGTTTATTAACAAAGAAATAAATCATCTTAGTTGCTACATAAAAAATAATAGAATGCCCTTCTAGAGTAAAACTAAAAACAGCATTGCGGATTTTATGAATACCAAATTCTAAATCTTTTAAAGCCTTAGTAATTTAAATTCTTCAGTGTCTAAATAGACAAGACTATCTTTTTGTTTTAAAACAACCCAATAAATATCCATGATAACCTATTTCATGATAAGCAAAAGTAATTTAAAAATAAACAAAGTAATCAACAATGGTCTACTCATTTTAAAAAACTTACCAGTGTCTCAATTCACTTTCCAGGATCATGACTAGCCCCCCCAACCCCCCAACCCCCCCAACCCCCACCACTTTGATTTTTTTCATTTCACTGCTATCTTATTTCACAGACAATTTTGTTAAAACAGGAAAAATTCTGCCAGAAACCACTTCATTACACAAAACACAAACTTCACTTATGCATGTAAAACACAATTCATTTATGCATGCAAAAATACTTTGTGTATATGCTGTATGTGTGAAATGTTGAGCAAAGTATGAAAAAAATATAAGCAAGATTCTTTTGCGCGCTGCAACTCACTCCCTTTGAACTCATACTAAATGTACCTAAACTTGAGTATCCCCTCATCTTCAGCTTTCATAGACAGCTCAAATACTTTCATAGTAAGGAAGTAATTGATGTGGTACAAAGAGCCAAGTAACAGGTTTGCCACCAAAGCCTTGGACTTAATTTCTATAGGTCTCAATTTTTTCTCTTGTAAAATAAGGTAGGTTGAACTCTCTCTCTTTCATTTAAACAGAATAGGAATCTAATTCAGGGTAGACTGTATTATTTATAATAGCAAAAGCCTGTTAACCTAAATGTTAATATTCCAAATAATAGAATACTATATGATCCTTAAAAAATTGTAAGTCTATGTGTGCTAATTTAAAAAGATGTCCCTCACAGACAGCCTATTAAAACAAGAAACAAGGGCCAGACCCAGACCCAGCTACTTGACAGACAGAGATCTCAGTTTGAGGCCAGACAGGGCAAAAAGTTAGCGAGCCTCCATCTTAATGCCCAGCTTATTAGCTGGGCATGGTGGTACACTTCTATGGTCCCATCTACTCAGGAGGCCAGCAGCAGGAGGCCATTCCTAGTAAAAACACAAGACCCTATCTGTAAAATAACAAAAAAGCGCTGAGGGCTTGATTCAAATGGTAGAAAGTCTGTCCAGCAAAAGCAAGGCCCTAAATTCAAACTGGAGTACCAAAAAAAAAAACCAAAAAAACAGCTGGTGCATGCCTGTAATCCCAGCTAGCCAGCTAGTAGGGAGGCTAAACATGAGGATCACAGAGTTTGAGGCCAGCCTCAGCAACTTGGTAAGCTCCTGTCTCAGGATAAAAATTTAAAAGGCTGGGGGCATAGCTCAGTAGTGCTCTCAACTTGCCTAGCACACGTCAGGCCCCAGGGTCAATCTTTAGTATCACTCCCTCTCCAAATGCAGAATGCAGGAAGTATGGCCTCATTGCATGTATTTTAAGAGACACATACATGTAAGTACAAGAACTTTCCCAGAAGGCCAAGCAAGAAACTTCAAAGTAGTACAGTGGTAATTGAGGGTGCTATTTTTTAACTACTTATCCTTCTATAATATTGAAAAATTCTAAAATAACAATCCTGCATTATTTTTATAATTTTTAAAAAGAAACTAAAAGAAAAAGCTTGCTAATCCAGGTTTTATAATTAGAAAAGACCTGGACTCAAATACTGGCTTAGCTGTTTAAATTCGTAATAACATTTGCGATGTTACTGTACCTCAGTTTCTCCATTTGTAAAAAGGTCTTAGAAGTACCAACATCATAAAACTGTTGGGAGGATAAAAGGAAATCATACAAGCAAGACACTCAGCACAGCGCCTGTTAGAGGACAACTGTTGGCAGCTATTACCATGACTACTATGACCACTATCTACTGTCATTAGAATGAGATTAGACAGTTAATTCAAGATCAGCAATCCTAAACTCCTTCAATCTGATCAGTATAAGAAAAAGCATTTGTTAATTTATGGTTAGAAAAGAACAAAAGCTATCACAGGTAGCAAGTAAGCTGATGAGAATGGTAGTCAGAGCAAAGTTTGGGTTTGGGGTACTCTCTAACTAGAGCAGCCTTCTTTAGGAAATGCATACTTGCCCAAGAAAACAGAATACTGAAAATAGTTCATTCAACCTTCTGACGTGATTTTTTTTCTATTTTAATATACAAGGACTGCTCATTTTCCTAAAAATTGTGGCACTGTAAGTTCATCCACATAATTTACCAACTAATTACAAATAACATGTCAGTAACATGTCAATTGACTGGGAAATATAAATGAGAAATCTACATAAAAAATAAGCTTCAAAAAAGCATGCTGAATGAATTCTGTCATTCACATTTACCTCACAGAATTTCAAAATTTCAGATGGAATATTATCAAATCAAAATACTCCAAGTTATCAATCTAGTCTTTATGCCAAGACCAATTACAGAGGACACAACTCTGACAATATTCAACTTAATTTTTCCACTAAACGTAAGATTCTCTATAACTGATAGGACATTAATATTAAGGTTGATTAAGTCAATATGTAATACAACTGGGCTGAGTCCATCATATTACAAATTTAACAGGGCTTTCTGGTATTAGAGAACAGTTTCAATACTGATGTAATGTGTTAAAGTATGGATTACCCCAATTGCAATTATTTTAAAAAAAAAAAAAGGTCAGGCACATTTTTTAATCCTTTTCAATAAGGAAATAAAAAAGGCTCCACCTAATACCAACTGATCTTCTGTAAATTTGTCAATATTTAAACTTTTAGCATAGTAACATTCAAATCACACAAGGTTTTTCCCTTGAATAGATTGAAGAATTACTGCAGCTTTTCCAAGAGTGACCTGACTTCCCACCAAAAAAAAAAAAGAAAACAGAAGAAAAAAACCTGGCAACTCAATGAGGCTCTAAGAACTACATGCCTACTTCAGAGATCATTGCTCTGTGCTCAATTGGCATTTGGAGGCTGTATTGAGCAAGCTACATGCAAGCAAAAGAAAGAGTATATTAAAAACAAAACAAAACAAAACAAAACTAAGCACTATTCTTAACACAGCCATTACCTACCTATAAGGAAAAGCTATCGAAATACCATTTTAAGATACACACATTTCTAATTTTCCAATATTCAAAACACATCAAGCAGATAAAGGGTAGTAAGCACATCTTACTACCCTTTCTCACCCCCCACACAGTGCTTTGCCAAGAGCACAGCCCCAAGTAAAATAACCGATGCAATTTCCTTGTTTACTTAAAGAATTGCAGAGAACATGTTGACTGCTTCTGAAACCAATCAATATTTAAAAGACTTTTCACAATCATGTTTGAAATATGAGAGTGACAATGATTCCTTCGGCTAGTAAAAATCTAGTTTAAATTTATAAAAAGGGTTTAATTTTACACCGCAGTTCATCAGCATGCCTTGTTTGCAACAAGGAAGAGGGAAGAGAGGGGAGCAGCAAAACACACAAGATGGAAAACATCACTACCTCCTTTGGTGGTTATGAATAACTGTAAATGACCCAAGAGGTAAGGGAAGAGTTCATGAATATAAAGAAAGGGGGTTAGCAACATGAGCTGGCCCCTTCCAGATTCACACTGATGTCGGAGAGGAAAAGGAATTTATTTACACTGCAGTGCCTGGCAGCAAACATGGCTGCCCCTGCCCCCTTTAAATCTGAATAGTCTTCCCTCCTCACCAAAACCATCAAATTATGACCATGTCTCTCTCTGTGTCCCTACCATAACACAAACACATCTCCTCTTCCCTCAAACAGTAACACCCACACCTCCCCCCGTTTCACAACAATCACAACCCCATAACCACTAGCTTCTCTATTCTCTAGCCTTGAAATAAAAGACACAGAAAGACATAAATACAGGAACAAAAGGCCTTCCCTTCTAAACACTTTAACTACCCCATCCCCTCCTTATCCTCCCGCTCTGTGACGCTTGGTCGATGGTTCTCATCCCTTCCAGCATTCAGTTAATTTCCTTCCCTAACCCAATCCTCTGTCTTCCAGTTTCCTGCGTCTATTTCCTATGCTTCTATTGCATCCATCCTGCCTCAATCATTTCGCATCCCTTTTTCTACTCTATCTTTTCCTTCACTTTCATTCCCTCGTTTCTCCCTAGATTACCGTGAGATGTCCCGCTTCTCGTCAAATTCTACCCCTTTCCCCAGACTCTTCTAGTTCCCACACTCAACCTCAGACCTCCTTATCTCGCAGTCCACCCAGGTCTCTAATCTCCAAATCTAACTCTTCTCCTCTTTCCCTACCCCTCCCCCCGTTCCCACCTCTACTCGCAATTCCCAGCTCAGCGCCACTACATTTTACCCCAACCCTACCTCCCGGCCCCACCCCCCAATCTCCTCCACACCCCCTACCTTGCCATCTGCTCTTCCTTCTAGACTCCCCACGTACCCTTCCTTTCAGGCCACCCCCTTCACCTGCCATTCGCGGGTCTTGCTCCCATCCCGGTGCCCCATTCCTAGGTCGCCCCCAACCCATCGATCCCTCCTCAGCCCTTCCTTGCAACACACACAAACACACACACACACGCACGCACACACACACATACACACGCACTTTACCTTCAGTCTGTTCCATTCTAACCCCCCGGCCGTGTCAGTGCGATCACAGGAGAGACACGGAGGCCCGAAGTAGGGCTGGGGTGCGGGCAGCTGCCGGAGCCGCGGGGGGAGGAGACGGAACCAAGCTAGGCCGCATGAAATCCCCGAACTAGATTTTCCCCGCGCCTGGCGCCTCTGCCATGGCGGCCGGCACCGAGGAGGGCCACGGCCGGGCCGGGCCGGGCCGGGCGCGCTGCGGGGAGGAGGAAGGCTGCGGGCGGTGGGGTGAGAAGGAAAGGCGGCTGGACGGGGGTCGCCGCGCAGTCGCTGGTGCCGGAGAGAAGCTTGTGGCTGGCGGCCCGGCGGCCCGGCGGGGTAGCAGGGTCCTCGGGGCTCCGCTTGGAATTCGCACGCCTCTCCGCGGCTCCCAGCGCACAGTCCCCTCAGCCTACGCCTCCGTGCCGCCGCCCGCTCCCGCCGCCGCTGCCGCCGCTCCCGCCGCCGCGCACAAAGCCCCCCCACCCGGGGCTCACTGGGCGCCGCCGCCGCCAAATCCTCAGCTCCTCATTGGCTGTGGGCCGCGGCGCCTGCCGGGAAATGCAGTCCCGGGTCTGGGGTGCAGGGGGCGAAAGGAGGAAGAGGCTAGTCAGCCGCTGAGAGAGGAGGGCGGGAGCCAGAACCAGAAATGCAAGTGGCGCGCGAGCGTCTAGACCTGACGCGACACCGCAGGCTATGAGGCAAAGGGACGGGAAGGGACGGTGCGGGGGGATGAATGCAAAACAAAACTAGAGGACAGGCGAGGGCTGGGCCTGCGAGGTAAAACCGTGCTTGTGCGTGTTCTCAGATGCTCATTAAATAGCAGCACACATTAAACGCCATATGGTACTCCTCGCAGTGGCGCCGCTCTACAATTCCAAGATATTAGGAAGAAGCTACAAATGGGTGCGCGGTTACAAGGGCCAGGAGAGAGCGATCCTTGGCTGTCCGTGCGACAGCTGTCAGCGAAGAGCGCCCTACCCCCGAGGGTCGGCGCCCCGAGATCGGGTAGCAATTTAGGACTTGAGTCCGGGAGGGGCAGGCTCCCTTTCGGCCGTGGGTGAGTGTCGGTGGTCCCCAGGTTGCAAGCATTAGAAGGACGGACGGACGGCTGGGTCTGAGTCCTGCTTAGGAAGCGCCCGCCGTCCTGGGCAGGCACCCGGCCCCGCCACCTCTTCCTGCCCGCACCGCGGCCCGGAGGCTTGTGGGTAAGCAAGCAGGAGGACGTCAGCGCAACTGCATCCCGGACCACGGCGGACAGAGAGGGCTCCGCGACGTCACGTGCCGGGGCCTCGGCTGCTCCAGCCAGACCTTCGCACCGAGTGATGTGAGGCCCAGGCCGCTCGCGCAAGAACAAGAGCAGGGAGGGGGACGGTGCTCTGCAAGCCTCCAGCCTCCCCATTCTAAGGAAATGGGTGTGAAACAATGGCTGGTCTTAAATGTGGGACACCGTAAGCGAGTCTTGCAGGGGCGTGCAGAGGCAGTGGTATTTCCTGGGCCCTGCTGGCAATGACTTAGAACGTTGCAGCACAGACTTGAACGTACAAAGGAAACGCCGGCAGCAATCAGATAAGGAAACCAATGCGTAGTCTGCCCTCTGTTCTGAGAATTACACAGCTCTATCACTACTACACGTCATGCTCCCCACAGATATGGTAATGCTCTATCTATGTGCTACCATTACAAGAAGTTCCTGGTATCTTTATCTTTAATAGCACTCGAGAAATGAAAAAACTCCTACAGTTCAATTATTTTATTGGACACTAAATATGTATTCGTTTGTTAACATAACTTTGTTAATAGTACTAAGGATGATACTGAGAATTAAGAGTTCCTACTACTATCAATCTCTAATTTATTATTTTATTTTATTAATTTATTTTGAGATGGGATTCACTATGTTACTGAGGTTGGTCTCCAGCCCCTGTGCTCAGCCTCCCCAGTAGCTGGGACTATAGACAGTACCACTGACCTACGCTTTGTGCAGTACCAAAAGTTAAAGGAATCAATAAAATCACCATTTTTTAAATAAATATGTATTTTTAAAACAGATGGCCAAGAGGGCCACGTGAGCCTAGTTTGATTCTACCTCCTGGGAAGAGGGGGTCTTTTTTTCCCTCCCCTCATGGTCCTTTCTACTTCCATTTTTCTTTTTCCTATAGCCTTTTTGCTTCTTTGATAAACTGTTGCCTTGCCTGGCACCTGGATTTTCCCATTGAGGAGAAGCTGCTATTTTGTCCCTGGGGAATGTATTTTAGCCTACTTCTGATAGCTATGCTGACAACAAAAATTTAAAATTGAAATTATGTGTATTTTTCTGCAAGCATTGGAAAATAGTTAATCTCTGATCTGGAGTCATGCTTAGGGAAATGGGCACTAGTAGTAATAATTCACATTTTCAGCCTCTAATGTCTTCTGAATTTCAGAACATGCTTACTATTCTCCATAGGAGAAGAGCAAACAGCTCATCAAGACAAAGCTAACACAATTCTCAGAGCCAGAGTTATGGAGAAAAAATTTTTTTCGTTTCTCTTCTGAATATTATGTACAAAAGCTCCTTATGAATTAAATCCCCTATCCTGAAAGTCAAATAAATTGCCAAGCTTGATAACAGGCAAAGGTAGACATTGCTTTGAACAATTGGATTTCAGAAAGAAGGGTTCTTAACCCTTCCCTTTTTAGAATAGGATTGCTGACATATGGTATATAGAAAACCTAGCTCATCTTTCAAATACTGCTCATGGAGTCGTTCATCTGGTTTATGAATACTTAATGATTTTCACTGTGCCTGGTTGTAAGTGAATACAATGCATGAATAAGAATATTTCCCGGTATAAAATGTCTCCCAGTGAACTGAGAGGAATAATTTTGCATCCTTTATAATCTTTTCCAGAAAAGTACATTCATATGGTAATGAATTCATCCATTTATGAAATCAATATGAAAATTATACCTATCTTTTAAGGCTCAAAATTTTACCACGGAGAATTTTCAGGCAGCGAAAAATAGAGGAAAGCTTTGTAGATTTAATTCTAGTAAACATAGAACGTGAAGTGGAGCCCTTATGTGGAAAGTTAGGTATCAGACATGCACAAAGGGACCTCTAGAGGCCAAACTGAAAAGGTTTTCCTATTTTCCATAGTGATCCATTTAGTTATTAGCTGAAAAATGCTTCGTGGATTAAAAGCGGTCTGCATTTCTTACTGAAATTTAATACCCGCCATCTTTCATTCTTACAAATGTGTTGCCCAGATGAGTAAAGTCTGTAGTAGGCTCACATATGAAGTATTCACCGTGAGAAAGCGACTCCTTGCTGTCGGTGTTAGAGCCACTAACATTTTCGTCTTTAAAAGAACCAGATAATGAATAGGTAGAGACAAATGGGGAAATAAGGATATATCTAGATCTTTCCCTTTGCCAAGATGGCTCAGATGCCCATCCTAGGAACTGAAGTGTTCTAAAACCTGCCACGCCTCCGCTATTTCACAGATACTCTAATATTTATATTATATGATGAGATTTCTATACAAACTACTGATCATAGCAACGCCTGTTAAGAGACCATTTATAAGTAAATTTCTATAGCGAATTCACAGTTCCATATGAGGATTTCACAGCATTCCGGCGCTGGGCGGAGAAAGGAGGATGCTTTCCTTCCCATTCCCCTTCTTTCTGCTACCATCCCCACCTGCTCTCCACTGGGGTCTCCCGAGGCAGTTTCGGAGTTGGACGGGGCGGAGGGAGACTACATCAAAGTGATGTCATTCGTTACTCTGGGATGGTTACCATGGCAACTATCAGACATTACGCCAGCGTAAGAGCCTCTTTAATCTAGTTCTCATTCAAGGGTTTCCCTGTGGTTTAGCCCCAGACTACAATGTGGATAGGCGGAGAAACATCAGTCTTGGGTATTCCAGCACCGAGGCTCCCCGGACTAAACTAAGCCTAGAAGTCACTTCGCGCGTGGGAAGCTCTTGCTGCTGCCTCTGCCGAAGGACGCCCGCCTTTCCCAGACTTAGAGATGATTGGATGGTGGTGTCGTCACTCAGGTGACGTCACGAGGAAAGGGGCAAGAGGTGGAGCCATAGAGATTGTCTCCGCCCTTCTAGCCTGGGGGCCAAGGAGGAATCGGGAAGGGACTGGGAGGACTGAGGCGGCGGTTCCGGGGAGCGGGTAGAGGAGGTAGGGGTGGGCTGGCCGGGTCCCGGGACTGTTACTTGGTGGACCCGCCCTCGCCTGACCTCCGCTGCCCTGCACCCTCTTCCTCCGGTCTGAACCGGGTTCTCCCCACGGCTTCCACTTCCCACCGAGCCCGCGACTTCTCCCGTCCGGCCCTCCAATCTTTGGGGAGCAGCCTCCATTCCTCGCGAGTCTCTTCCCAGTTTCGCTTCCGTGCTCCGCACCCTGCTTCTCGTCTTCTCCCCCACCCCCCACTACCGGGATCATCAGCAAGAGTCGGCGTTCCTGTGCCTCCCCCAGCCTGCACACCCCCCAAAACAAAGCACATCCCAGAGACCCCACCACCACAGCAGTGCCCCCCAGCCTGCACCGGTGCGGACGCACTGGTAACCAGGCGCCCGGCGCGGGCTGCGCGGCCCCGCCACCCGGCCGGCCGGGGAGAGGCTCCAGCCCCGGCGGAGCAGATAACCGCCGCCCGGGGCTGCTTCCCAGCTTAGGGCCCTGTTGGCAGTGTGGCTCTGACAACGAGGTCGCCACCCTGGGAGCCCAGATGGCAGGAGGATGTGAGGTCTACCTGACCGCCCCTAGCTGAAAAGCGGCTCAGGGTGGAGAAAGGTTTGACTGAAGCAGATAGAGGTCCAGGGCTCCGTTTGGGCTCTGGGGAAGCTCCAGCACGGGAAGAAGCCTGTTTCACTTTTTTTTTTTTACTTGCACCGTGCATGTCTTCACGGCTACGGAAGGGAGATGAGTGATTACGTTCAGGCTCTGGGGTTTGAGGTAGCTTGGCCAAATATAGAAAAAGCTAATTGAAAACAAATCCAGGATATTTACTCTACCCGTAACTTTAGAGTACGAAGAAGATTGCCTTTCGCCTCTTAACCTCCGCGGCAGGTTGCTAGATACTATCGATCAGAAATAATCAGTCTTTGAAGGTCATGCCATCTTCATGAGCATCAGCATCTTGGAGATCATTCCTATGTGTTGGGATCTCCAAGTACCATTTTCAAATCCAGAGCTAAGCAAGTTTTATTTGTGATTGTTGTGATGAACTAGAAAGAGATTTTACACTTTGAATATGCAAATTTTCTGCCCTTGCAATAGTTGAGAATTCTGAAATCCTGATATCTTTTAAATGATGTCTTTCTAAAATACTAAATTGTTTGCTTCTTTTGCTAGGTCTCTATGTTGATTAGTTGAGACAAATAAATATGGCCTTCTACAGTTATAATGCAGTCCTAGCTATTGTCCGGATAAGGTGAGTTTGGGAACCTTCCCTCAATGTGTACAGGAACTTCATTCATCTAAATGGAAAGGATACATGTAAAAGGATCGGCTTAGTATATAATTAAAACTTTGATTTTTAACTATGTTCTTAGCAATATGACATTTTGGACTTTTTTGCAGCCTTGGGATTTGAACACTCTTGCTTGGAAGGCATTCTGTAGCTCGAGCCGCACTTCCAGCCCAGGAAGCTAACATTTTAATGTCCAGTATTTAAACTTAGGTAAAATCTCCTATATGCTTTTAGAACTCAGGCTGAGTAATTTTGTAGATGTGTGGTTACAGAAGATGTAATGGTTTTAGAGTGACACATCTGTAATTGATTAATATTATACCAGGTTCTCAGATGTGAAAAGGAGTAAAATGGCTAATGGACAAACTAGTCCTAGGGAATATGCCTGTCCCTTGAAGGTCTGTTATCATTTGCTTATGTATTCAGAAGAATATTCACTTAGAATTTACTATGTGCCAGACACATTGTACATTTTCCCTTTTGGCCATTCAGAGAACATTTTTAGCTTGGCATGCTTCAAATATAGGATGAAAGAATGGAAAAAAAACCATTTCTTTGCCAAAAGAAGTCTCTTTTCCAGTAACTGTCTTTCCCTGAATCTGTCTTATTTTTATTTTCAAACAGTCTGATGGACTAATTTAACTGAAGATTGTGGGCTGACCCTTGGGTCAGGGTACTCAGTTTTAACTGTTGTTGTTTGGCTATATTAGGGCTTGAACTCAGGGCCTCACGCTTCCAAGGTAGGTACTATACCACTTGAGCCACTCCAGTTTTTTTTTTTTAATGTGTTGGGTATTTTTGAGATAGGGTCTCACTTATTGCTCTGACTGGCCTTGAACCATGATCCTCCTGATCGCTGCCTCCTGAGTAACTAGAATTACAGGTGTGAGCCACCAGCACCCAGCACAGTTTTTTGTTTTTTTTTTTGGTGTTGTTGTTTTTTGTTTTTTTTGTATGTGGACTGCGGTTCAAACGCAGGACCTCATGCTTATGTGGCAGGTGCTCTACCACTTGAGCCACTCTACCAGCCCACAGTTCTAATTCTTATTTCTAATGTTCTTGAGGAATTTTAGGGAAAGGGATTTCTGCTGTCAGTGCCTCTCATTTGAGCAAGTCCATGGATAAAGCAGTATTACATGATTGGCTAATCCCCACAGGCACCATGAAGTGTTTCCTTAAAACATTCCTGTTATCAATAGAGTAGCTAAAGACATGAATCTGTCACTTATTTTAGATAGAAACACTATCAAACATAATCCCTATCGAAAGATGTTTGCTAGTAGGTGTTTAAATTAATAGTTGTAGAACTTCTAACTTCCAAAATTGCAAATTATTCTTAGGCTTTAATTTACCAATTTATGGAACATATTCAGGGTTTCAGCATACTATTTATCAACAGGTATAAAAAGTGGGGGTATAGCTTAGTGGCAGAACACTGCCTAGCATGTGGGAGGCCCTGGGTTCTATTCCTGGCACTGCTGGAAAAAAAAGAAAAAGTTGCCCGTTTAACTGGGGCTGTAGCTCAGTGGTAGAGCATATTAGCATATATAAGGCTCTGGGTTCTGTCCCTAGCAACACACACAAATGTGTTTCTTTAATTTATACCTTTGTAATCCTACATGCTTGATTCCAAGAATGCTGTTCTCTATTGCAGATTTACTAGCCATTTCGTCCATCCTCCCTGCTCTTCTTACTCCCCATCACTTGCCTTTCTTCACTTGCCAGAGTACTATTTAAGTAAGACCTATATGAAGAACTGTGGAAGCAGGAAGTACTCCTATCCCAGTCAGTTAGGCCATAAAAGACTTCATTTACGAACTACACTAATACAAAAGCCACACACATCAATTTGTTGGCTACACCAAGCCCCTGATAAACCTCAGCTGGAGCAAACCTCAGAGAAGCCCGCAAAAGAAACAAAAGCAGAGATTAAAGAAGAAAAGCAATCTTACAGGCAAAAAATCATTAATGAACTTAAATATTATTACAAAGGCTTTCACTTACTTTGGATTGACACCAAAGTTGCTGCCAGAATGGTTTGGAGGCTGCTGCACGGGCAGGTGCTGACCAGGCGAGAGAGGCGAAGGGTAGGCAAGAAAATGGGAAGTTAAAATGAACTATTTGGGAACCAAAATTTTTTGTTGTTGTTTCGACAGTACTGGAGTTTGAACTCGGGCCTCAGGCTTTCTACCACATGAGCCACGCCCTCAGCCCTTTTTTGGTTTAGTTGTTTTTCAGATAGGATCTTGTGTTTTTGCCCACAGCCAGTCTTGAACTTCGATCCTCCTACCTACAGCCACCCAAATTGCTGGGATTTTAGGAGTGTGTTGCCTTCCCAGCTTGTTTGTTGAGATGGGGCTGGCCCCCAACCTCGATCTGCCTGATCTCCTCCTCCCAAGTAGCTGAGATTACAGCCTTAGCAAGAACTAAGTTTTAAACTCAACTTAAACTTCATCTTAAAAATCCCAAAGTAGCTTGCCTACTATGCTTAATGCCTAGGTTTGGTCCCCAGCATCCCTCATCCTCCTCCCTCCCCCAAAAAACCTAAAGTGAGAATCATAACTACTGATAAGAAGCAGAATTTCTTTTCATGCAGTCCTGAGGGTGAAACCCTGGGCCTTGCACATACCAGGCAAGCACCCTAGCACTGAGTTACACCTGCAGCCCATCCTTCACAACCCTCCCAGACAACCAGAGTGTCTTTCTGAGTTTGTCTGAACTGACTTGCATTTAAATTCTTAAACTTTGCTGGGTGCCAGTAGCTCACACCTGTAATCCTAGCTACTTGGGAAGCTGAGATTGGGAGGATAGTGGTTCAATCCTCCTGGCAAATAGTTCACAAGACCCCCCATCTCCAAAATAACCAGAGCAAAATGGACTGGAGGTGTGGTTCAAGCAGTAGAGCACCTACTTTGTGAGCACAAAGCCCTGAGTTCAAATTCCAGTCTCACAAAAAAAACCTTAAAATTTGTATATATTTGCTTATAAAATAGTTATAAGTGTTTTTTAATCTCTTCAAGGAGTCAAAAGGCTTCAGGTTTAATGTGCATTAGAAATTAAAAAAAAGTTACTATTTTAAGCATGTGCATTTTGAAAACAAATTGTAAAACCAAGTGCAGTGGTACATGCCTATTATCCCAGGTACTGGGGAGGCTGAGGTGGGAGGATGAGTTGAGCCCAGGAGGTCATCCTGGGCAACACAGTGAGACCCCCCTCTCAAAAAGTAGAGACAATGGATTTTAACTACTATGTGATTAAAGTACAGACCCCTAAGAGATGTTTTCATCATCATTCATTTCCTTGACAATATCCCATAAATACTACGACTGCAGAGCTATGGGAAAGAGAAAAACTTCACCTATTTCACAAACAGCTGCTGAAAATCTGTCTTGGATTTTTAATGCTTTAAGAACCAAGGCAGCCTTTTTTGTTTTGAGTTTGTTGCTTTGCTTGTCATTTTTGGTTTTGTCCTAAACGCTGAGATATGGCTCATGCCTTCGTTTCTTTAGCTGTTGAGAACTTGTGCTGATTTGTTCCGCTTGGTTCCATTTCTGGTGTTCATAATTGTACCCTTCATGGAATTCTTGATCCCAGTGTTTCTGAAACTCTTCCCAGACATGTTGCCATCAACTTTTGAAAGTGAATCCAAAAAGGTATGTAGGGTTTTCTTTTTTAACTTGCTAAAAAATTAATAGACTTTACTTTTTAGAACAGATTAGGTTTACAGGAAAATTGGGCAGAAAGTACAGAATTCCCTTATACCACTCATACCTCCCACCCAAGTTTCCTCTATTATTAACGTCTTGCATCAGTGTGGTCCTTTTGTTACAACTAAAGAACCAATATTGATACATTATTATTCATTAAGGCTCATACTTGACATTTGGGTTCACTCTGTGGTGTGCGGTTGTGTGAGTTTTGCAATAATGTCATGTATGTATCATCACAGTATCACAGAGAATAGCTTCACTGCTCTAAAAATCCCCTATGCTTGCCTGATTTTTCCTTCTCTGTTCCTTCTTCAATCCATGGGAACCACTGATCTTTTCAGACTCTATGGTGTTGCCTTTCCCAGAAGGTGGTGTAGTTGGAATCATATGGTGCGTAGCCTTTTCAGACTGGCTTCTTTCACTTAGTAATATGCATTTAAAGTACTCCCTGGTCTTTTAATGGCTTTTTAAAAAGTCACTAAATAGTAGTCCTGTGTGGATATACCCATTCTGAATCCATTCACCTTTTGAAAACTGGTTGTTTCCAACTTTTGGCAGTTATGAATAAAACTATAAATATTTGTGTTCAGGCTTTTGTGTGGATATAAGCTTTCAATTTACTTGGGCAAAATACCTAGCAGAGTGATTGCTAGATCACATAGTAAGACAATGTTTAACTTTGTAAAAGGTTGTAAACTGTCTTCCAAAGTAGCTGTGTCTTTCTGCAGCCTCCCCAGCAATGAGTGACATTTCCCATTCTTCCCCATCTCCACCCATGTTCAATATGGCCCGTGTTTTGAATTTTGCTGATTGTAATAGGTGCGTAGTCATACCTCACTGTTGTTTGAATTTGCAACTTCCTGATGCTTATCTGCCATTGGTAGATCTTCTTTGTGGAGGTCTCTGTGCAACTGTTTGCCCAGTTTTTAATTGGGTGGTTTGTTTTCTTATTGTTGTTTTGAGTTCTTTGTGTATTTTGGATAAAAAGTCCTTTATCAAATATATATTTTGCAGTGCAAACCCCAGTACCACCAAAAAGAAAAAAGAGTTCAAGGCAAACCTCAGATACATAAAAAGACCCTGTCTGAATAAAACAAGGGCTGGGGATGTGCTGTGGTAGAATGCTCGCTTAGCATGTGCAAGGCTCTGGGTTCAATCCCCAGCATGCTCCCCTCAAAAGATAAATTAAGATAAACCAGACCAGAAGAAAATATTTGCAAAATGTATATTTGGAAAGCCTTTCCCTCCAACACAAGTGCAGGGGATTGAACCCAGGGCCTTGTGAATGCTAGGTAAGTGCTCTATCAGTTAGCCACACCCCCAGCCCTGTGGCTTACCTTTTCAATCCCTGAACAATGCCTTTCACTGATCAAACACTTGTAATGAAATCCAGCTTATCAATGTTTTCTTTTCTGGACCATGCTTTTGCGGTTGCAGCTAAAAACTCATTGCCAAACCCAAAGTCACCTAGGTTTTCTCCTGTTTTCTTCTAGAAGTTTCATAGTTTTTCATTTTATGTTTAGATGTATGATTCATTTAGAGTTAATTTTCATGAAAGGTCCAGAAATATCAATGTCCAGAAATACTTTTCTTTACATATGAATATCCAGTTTTCCTAGTACCATTTATTGAAAAGACTATCCCTTCTCTACTGAATTTTGACTGCTAAAAAAATAAACAAGCATTCACTATTACTGTGGTGAACAGCTGAGAAGGAGGTATGATTTATTCAAAGAGACCTTCAGTATTCACAAGTGGTGCCTGAGAAGAGGGTACCTTGATTGCGAGTGTGAAGAGGATGGTTTTGGTGGCTCCTTCACATTCTCCATTCTGTTACACTCTGCTAGACACAGGTATGAAGACAGGAGCAAAACACATCCCAGGACAAAGAGGGCAACTTGGAAATCAGTGAGACTGGGAAATGTTTCCCTTTGGAATGGAGACTTTTTAAATAGAGGATGGAATTTTACCAGTCTATATATATTGTGGAAAGAAAGAACAGCACTAAACATTGCACGATGGTGTAAGACAGTGTGACATAACCAAGGCCACAGACTTGCTCTTTGGGGTTGGAGGAGGGGGTGCATTAATGGCAGGAGCAATGTGATGTGTTAGGGTTCAGGTTGGCAGGCATCTACCACCCTAAAGAATTTGGACATTACCTTAAACCCTAGTGAATAATGGAAGGTAAAATTTTAAGCAGCAGTTGGTGATAAGATTAGATTGATAGTTTAGAAAAATAATTTTGCTTACAGAAGGACTGAAGAGGGCAGAGCCAAGTAGGAAATCAGCTAGAAGCTACTGCGGTTGCCCAAGGGATATGTCAGAACCTAAGTAGGAAATGAACCTTTTTTTTTCTGAGGTACTGGGGTTTGAACTCAGGGCCTTGTGCTTGTTAGGCAGGCACTCTCCCACTTGAGCTATACCCACAGACATTATTGCTTTAATTATTTTTCAGATAGGGTCTCGCTTTTGCCCAGGCTGGCCTCAGACTGCCATCCTCCTACCCAGGCCTCCCACATAGCTGGGCTCATAGGTATGTACCACTATGCCCAGTTTGTTTGTTGAGATGAGACCCTGCTAACTTTTTGCCTGGGTTGGCCTCAAATGGCAATCCTCCTGACATCTGCCTCCTGATGGCTGGGATTACAGGTGTGAGCCACCCACTGTGCATGGCCCATATTTTATTTCTCTTTGTGGTACTTCATGCATGCTGGGCAAGTGCTCTATTATTAAGCTACACTCACAGCCCCTAATTTAATGGGAAAAATCAAATTGCAATATTTAACTCCCTGGCAATTTAATTTATTTATATTGAAAATAATCAGGATCTAGAATTAATGCTATAGCATTCCAAGGAATGTGTTACCAAACACAGGATGAAGGGGGTCTGGAGAAGTGGTTTATCTAAGTACTGCTTCTTCCTTAAGCACCAGTCATTCCCCCAAACACACTAGTATAGCATCATGGCAATTGTCTTAGAAAGTACTTTCTTGTTGGCTTTGTTCCACATGGATCATGGCACATGCATTTTTCTTTCATAGTTGATTATCTTATTAATCAACTTTTAATTTCTGGAATTGCTGGATCATCAGTCACTAATGTTTGTCTTTCCCCCCAGACTAGATCCGAAGTTCCACTAGACTAGAAGTTTTGTGAAGACAGGAACTCATCAGTTTTTGCCAATTTATCCTCAGCACCTAGTAGGGTAGATACCCAATAGATAAATGGATGGGTGAAAGGACCTAGACAAATGAAATGGATGACTAAGTGGGTTCTAACCATGGCATTGCCATTGTGTAATGTTTTTGGCTGAGTCTTTTAAGATCTTTCTAAAAATCAATGATCATGATTGGCTAATCATTAGACTCTCCTGGGCAACTTATAAAATACATGCAGATTACTGTTCCTTTGTATTATCTCTCCCAGCATCCTGGCCATGGTTACTTTGCACTGCATTTCTGATAATGAACAAGGATTAACAAATACTGGTCAACACAATGTCTTGAGAACTTAAAGTTAATTCTTTAATGTGTAGTCCTTTTTTTTCCCTCAAATCTATTACCTTAAGCATTTAACTTACTGCACTATAATGAATTATGTCTGTTTTCTATTTGAACTTTAGCTGTTTTAGTTGTTTGTAAAATAAAATCTGAGTTTACTCAATCCAGAGGTTGACTCAAGTAGCAGCCTAGATGGTTTCTATAAGGTTAAGAGATAATATATCTCATTCTAAATAATGACAAAGCCTCCCATCAAGTGGACATGCTGAATCTATCAAATGCTTATGATCATTGTATTAATGAGAAATAAATGTAAGATAAAGGAGACAAGTTTCAATAGAAGCTACTTTATATTTGCTGTGGTTCTCACAAAACCCATTTGTTAGGCCTACACATATTATTAATACATTATACATTACAGGGAGTAGCAATAACAAGGTGACAGTTATTTTTCCCAAGCTGCAGTCGTGAAGGATTAACTTTTTACTCTTTTATGATTAAGGAAGAAAAACAAAGAAAGAAAATGGCTGCAAAGTTGGAACTAGCAAAATTCCTTCAAGAAACAGTTACAGAAATGGCAAAGAGGAATACAGCCAAGTTGGGAGATGCCTCTACACAGTTCTCCTCCTATGTAAAACAGGTGTCAGTCTTTTATATCATATCCACAACTTCTGGGCTGGAGTTACATGAAACAAACATGTCATCATGGATCTTCCAAATTGTTCAAATCTTTGAAATTGCAAATATCTTAAAAATATACAACACTGTAAACATTTATAGTAGTTCACAGAAAAGTCTATGTTATGGTAATCATTGTGTTGAAAACAATGATAACTTCTTGGAAAGATCAGTAGAATTAGTCAAACTTTTGAAATACTCCTGATTTTTCAGATGATTTAGTTTGATTTCAGACAGATTTCTTTACTCCTCTGTGAACCACAGGATCCATTTCCAGACAGTAAGTAGAGCCCATAACTGCTTTGATGTCTCTTTCATATAATCTATTGAGAAGTTTTCATTAAGTAGGAAACACATTTTAATTAGCGTCTTTATCCCATTGCCCAGGTCCAGACAGGCCACAAGCCCAGCACAAAGGAGATAGTTTGCTTTTCTAAACTCTTTGAGGATCAGCTAACCCTGGAGCATTTAGATCGACCTCAGCTGGTTGCCCTTTGCAAACTGCTAGAATTGCAGACATTTGGAACCAACAACTTGCTCCGCTTTCAGCTCCTTATGACTCTGAAGTCTATAAAAGCAGATGATGAAGTAAGAGCTTATCCACTGTGACGTAGGGAGGCATCTTGTCTTAAAGAACCTTTGGATGAAGTGCAGTATTTCCTCCTGGGTCTGGTCATGGACTGATTCTGGCAAAATGAGTAGTTTGAACCCATTATGGTCTGGCAGCATGGCTCAAATGCTATGCTAGAGTGTTTGCTGTAGAACATTTGCCTAGCAAGGGCAGACCCTGTGTTCAATCCCCAATGCACAGAAAAAATGAAAAAGCAACCATTACCATGACAACTTGAACCTTGATTACTCATTTTAGGAATTGTTTGTTGTGTGGGGATCTATTTTCCTGATGACATTGTAAGCAGTCAGTAATTTGGACATCTTAGCTGGGACTAATCTAAAGCAGTTAGGACCTGCTGGGAAGGAAATAGCTCAGTGGATTCCCGCAAGGCAAGGCAAGGCTGCACCCCCACACCTCTGCTCCCCTACTAAGGAGCTGGTGCCAAAGTAAATATTCTGCTGGGTGAGTTGGCCTGGTAAGGAGGTGGCAAAGCATAAATGCTGGTTGGGGGCGGGGTGGAGGGGAAGCAAGGCCTAGACATCTTACAGAAAGCACCATCTGGACTGTAACTATTAATTAGACTCCTTTAAAAACTGTTTCTTGACTCTAACTCAGCTTGCTATAAATCATTCTACCTGGGGGAGCATTTCCCAGAACTGAGAAAGCATGATCCCCTGGCCTCATTTAGATTTTAGACGTTGCTTTGAGAACTTTGGAATAAACAATACTGGTCCCAGAAGTACAATGGTGTTCCATCATACAAAGCAGAAACTAATCTGTTTTATTGAGGGAGTTTTGTGGACCTCACAGTTAGGGCCATTCCTGGGGTGGTGGTAGGAGGAAAAATAGCAGTGGGACATGCAACAAATGGTATCTTGAAAGCTTTTAAAGTGACTTTTTTATGTAATGGACCCTAAAAAAATGCCATAAAAGTGCAAAGGAGATGTCACACCAGGCAAAATACAAATCAAGCAGGGAAATACTTTGTTAATACAATGTTGGGAAGAGTCATGTCAATAGTTATGTGAATACCTGTTAGTAGTAGTTCCTTCATCTCAACTGCCACCTTTCTAAGTCACCTTGGATTTTTAGAGTTCTGGCCTTTGCAGCAATCAGTGCTAGGGACAAAGGGTCAATACATCAGATTATGTATCAGATTTTGCTGGAATGTAGGGATTAGGTAAAATTAGTCATAAGATCCAACACTATTCCTTACATTTTTTGCAGATAATTGCGAAAGAAGGGGTGAAGGCTTTGAGTGTGTCAGAACTACAAGCTGCCTGTAGAGCCCGAGGGATGAGATCACTGGGTCTTACTGAAGCACAACTACGACAACAGCTCACAGAGGCAAGGACTCTGGCCCTCTTCACTGGGACTATCTCCCCTACAATTTGAAGACTCATTTTGTGATTGCTACCTTGCAAGTTGTGTTAGTCAGCTTTCTGTTGCTGTGACAAAATACCTGAGAGGAAAGATTTATTTTGGCTCAGTTTCAGAACATTCTGTCCATAGATGCCCCCTTACTGTGGCAGCACAGTACATCATACAGAAACATGTGGCAGAGGAAGTCTGATAGTAAACAAGAGAAAGGGACCCAGGTGCAGGTATCCCCTTTATGAACATGCCCAAAGGCCTACCTTCCTCCCACTTGGCCCTGCCTCCTAATGGTTCTACCACCTCCCAATAGCACCACAGTCTGGGGACCAAGCTTTTAACACATGGGCATTGGGAGGACATTCAAGATCCAAACAAGTGAGCCATCTTACCTAATCTGCCTTATTTCATTGAGCAATGGGACAGTAAAGAAGCTATTTATTTTGCACTTTAACCAGGACAGGGTACTATGTTAGTTTCCTATAGCAGCATTACAAATTACTACAATTTAGTGGCTTAAAAGAATACTCATCTATTAGTTTCTGGTTCCATAGGTCAGAAGTACAAGCTCTGTTCCTTTCTAGAGGCCATGAGGGAGGATCTACTTCTAAACTCATTTGGTTTACTGGCTGAACCTTGTTCCTTGCAGCTATAGGAACAAAGATAAAATCCTTCCTTTCCCACTGGCTGCTAGCCCTCAGCTACTCTCAGCTCCAAGAGGCTGCCTGTATTCCTTCCTTCTTGGCCTCACTTCCATCTGAAAACCAGCATGGACTTCTCACATGCTAGATCCCCCTTGTGCTTCAAATCTTGGACTTCCCATTTTTTACCTCTAGGTAGCCCCAAATTTAAATGTCTCATGTGATTAGGAGAGGCCTACCTGGATAATCTCCTGTTTCAAGGTCAGCTGATGTGGGACCTTAATTATATGTGCAAAACCCCTTCAAACAGCACCTAAAATAAGTGTTTGAATAACAGGGAAGTGTGTGTATACAGAGATGAGAAGTCTTGGGGCCAGTGCAGTATTTGTCTACTCCAAGTGTAGTAGGGTCTTGGCAGAAATTCTGATTGGAGGCCTGTCATCAATGTTAGCTGGTACAGACCTTGCCTGGTGGACTACCTGGAGCTGATTTCCCACTTGAGCCTCAAGCCAATTCCAAGTGTTTCTTTGGTAATGGATGTTTAATATTGCTTCTCAGATAGTATTTTGTGTTTAGGGGAGGGGCAGGAAGTTTGAACTGAGGGCCTTGCACCTGCTAAGCAGGCCCTCTACCACTTAAGCTATGTCCTGTGCTGTATTTTAACTAAAAGCATCAGAGCTTTAAAACAAAGGAATAACTCCTATTAAATATTTTTTTTGGCAGTACTGGGTATTGAACCCAGCGCTTGAGCATTGTAGGCAAGCATTCTTCCACTTGAGTCATGCCCCCACATCAGCTCTTAATTCTCAAAATGCTGTAAGTTGTACAAAGATTATTTTAGGATAGGAACCATTGTTGTGACTTTAAAATCATGTTAGATAGCTATTTTCTCTTACACATGGACCAACTATACTTGGAAAATGAACATTTGTACAAAGATGTTTAAAATGGTAAACTTATATATTTCTCCTAAGATAAATTAAAACAATGACATGCCACATTCACCTATCATACTGGCAAAAAGCAGAGTTTAACACATTGAGTTTGTAAGAACTTGGGTAGAGGCATACTCATGAATGGCTAGTGAAGTCCTCTATGAAGAGATATGTTATTATCTTCAAATTTTAAAAATGTATACACTTTGACTTAAAATTTTCACACCTAGGAATTTATGCTATATTGCACATGTGCAAAATGACATGTTAGAGAGCATCATTACAGCACCATTTATAGTATAGCAAAAGACTAGACAGTCATTAATAGAATCATTAAATAAATGCATGGCATGTCTTTTATACAGTGGAATCCTGTATGGATGACAGATGTTTTAAAAGGGGGCAGCACTACATCTACTGATGTGAATCAATCTCCAAGTTATTTCAGTGGGAAAAAAAAACCACACAAAGGACAAAACACTGCATGTATGTCACCCTTTGGGTAAAGATTTTAAAAAACCCAAACATTTGTGGGTATGGTGGAGCATGCCTGTAATTCCAGCTACTCAAGAGGCTGAGGCAGGAAAACTGAGAGTTTGAAGTCAGACTGACTACAATAACAAAATGCTGTGCCCACCCCCAAATTTTTATATATGCATATGTCTGGAAAATTATACAAGGAACTGGTATCAATGATTGCCTCTAGGGAAGAGGTGACTAGGGATAGAAGGCAGATTCTTTTATTGAAAACATTTTATTTATGTTTTAAATTCTTTTGTGCATATATGATTGAAACAAAAATTTTTTTGGTAGTACTGGGGGGTTGAACTAGGCAGGGGCTCTACCACTCAAGCCACTCTACCAGCCTCAAGATTTTTTAAAAAGCTTGGCCAGGACAGGCATGGTGGTACACACCTGTAATTCCAGCATTTGAGAGGCTGAGGCAGGAAGATTACAAATTTGAGGCCAACCTGGGCTACATCGCAGGTCCTGTCTCAAAACAAACAAAAAAAACCTGGCCAATTTGATTCTTAAAAACATTTCATTCTCATTCTAAATACCATTTTTTTTTTTTTCAGTACTGGGGCTTGAACTCAGGGCCTTCACCTTGAGCCATTCTGTCAGCTCTTTGTGTGCTGGGTATTTTTTGAGATACAGTCTCGTGAACTATTTGCCCTGGCTGGATTTGAACTGCCATCCTCCTGAGTAGCTAGGATTGATTACAGGTGTGGGCCACCAGCACCCGCTGATACCCAGATTCTGATTTATTCTCTCATGCCATCCACTTTTTAGCTAAGAGTTTAATTGAACTCTCCCCCTCTGAGTCTGTAAGTGGCTCCACTTATAGTGAGGATGACTATCAGAGAGTAGCACTGAGGGGGAACCAGGAGTCTGGTGCTCTTATCCGTATTCTGCCAGGTGTTATCAGCATGCGTTGAGGGAAGCTGCAACTAAGAGAAGCAGTAGAGGACCATGGGTCACTTCAGCTCTAACGTTGGAGCTCTAACACTCCAACGTGTTTTATTCCTTCTCATTCTCCAGTGGCAGGACCTCCACCTGAAGGAAAATGTCCCTCCTTCTCTTTTGCTCCTGTCACGGACCTTCTATCTGATAGATGTAAAGCCAAAGCCAATTGAGATAACACCAGATATAGAGGTGAGTAACTGGGTTCTCTCTGATGCCTTGTCTGCTCTTGCACTCAAGAGCAGGCATTTCTTTTGGGCTTGGACCTAACTGGGTTTAACATAGTTTAAAATTCCTAAAACACTTTAAAACCAGACTGGGCTGGTTTTTAAATTTCTAAAACACTTTAAAACCAGACTGAGTGTAGCTTAAGTGGTGTTTTGCTTGCCTAGCGTGAGGCCCTGGGTTCCATCCCCAGCACCACCATCTCCAAAAGCCACTCAGAAGACTATCTCTAACCATAGGGGTACTACTGTCTTTAATTCCAGCTTGTTATAAGAAAGTTATTCTTTCTCCTTAACTAACTAGTCTTCATTAGGAGAACTCCCCCTACTCCCCACTTTCTCCTTTTAAATGACATGGTTCCTTTTCTTTCACATCTATTTCATTTGTCCAGACTCCTATTAATTTTAAATCAAAGAATGGCTAACCTAGAATGTAAACTTCCTTTAACTCATTTCCTTAATCATTTTTTGCCTGGCATTTCACTGAAGAACCAGTCCAGGATGGGCCCAGACACTGGAGTTTCTTGCTCTGGGCCCATCAGAAGTGGCCTTTCACTTGGGTGTTTTACTTGGTGGCATCAAGTCTGACTCACAGTATCCATGGGTGAGAAAGGAAGGACCAGTATAGAAGGTGCTGCATTGTGGTCTATTAGGTTAGTCTAAGTAATAAAAGTGAGTGAGGACTGGAATTTTTAATCTGAGATACACTGCTGACACCCTCCAGCACAAGTCAAGATGATTATTTGAAGTCCAGCATGAAAAACCTACTTTCAGGAAACCCCATGTTACTTTCTCCTTGCATATTTCTAGAGTAACCTGGTTTGGGGCTTTGTTCAGGACAGGTTCTAGGAGACCAGAAGCAACTTTGTAGTGCATACCATGAAGACAAGGCTAGTGAGTTTTTACTTGATCAAACCCCTGGATCAAAGTTATTCATCCTTTTTAGCCTGCTCTCAGGAGCAAGGAAGTCTTAGAGGATCACGATGTCTCAGAGCTAAATCTGTGCTCAGAATTATTCTAGATGGCCATAAACTCTTTACTCAGATACTGCTTTCTGGAATAAGTAAGAAAGAAAATAAGGAGGAAGAGAAGAGCTCCTACTGGTTGCTCTTTTCATCACTGTTTTTAAGCCTCTCCATATGTAGAAAATGAGAACAAGCAGCATGCTAGGCTGTGTGAAGTCAAGAAATTGAATATACTATAATTTTGGATTTATGTAGCCTCTTTCCCTTCAGTGCTTAAAAAAATTATTTCCAAAGAGCAGTGATAAATTATTTTCAAATCAAATATGATTCTTAAAAGGTAGGTTAACTATTCTACCATCACTCCTAATCTCCTATCTATTCTAATACCTGCCTCCGTCTTCCAGGGCCTCACACATGCTAAGCACTCACCGTACCACTGACATAAGCCCCCAGCCATTCAGGAGCTTCTTTTAAGCAATACCTACCATTTTAGTCAGGCAAACTTAACACTTACTGTATCAAAAAAAAAAAAAAAACCTCCCATAAATGTTAATTTTGACTAAGTGACATCAATGCTATTAGAAACAGTAACTGAGAAATGCAACTTTTTTTTTGAGACTGAAACAGGACCAGAACTGGAAAGTCTTGTTAATGACTAAGGATTTTAATTAGAGTGCAATTTTTGTATACAAAGTGCTTAAAACTCAGAAAAATAATACTAAGTTGCTAATTCAGGGACATTTTTCATATGTTACTCATAAAGGGTGTAGTGAGAGGAGGAAGTTGGGGATTTAGTGGAAGGCAAATTGTGCTAAAAGGCACTGACTATGGTAAAAGAACTAAGTTTCAGGAAGTGCAGTAGAAAGCTTACATTTGTGTAAACTATTCCTCTCCCTAGGCTCCCCAGACAGACATTCCTATGAAATCACCTACTTCTTTGGACTCTAAAGAGAACATGATGAACTCTGCACCTCAAGTGAGGGGAACTAAGGTTAGACTTTCTAGTTCTTTATGTTAAAAATGACATGACTAGCCAGGTGCTGGCGGCTCACGCCTGTAATCCTAGCTACTCGGGAAGCAGAGACCAGGAGGATAGCAGTTCAAATCCAGTCAGGGCAAAGAGTTCCAAGACCCTATCTTGAAAAAGCCCACCACAAAAAAAACCAAAACAAAAACAAAAAACAACAACAAAAAAGGCTGGTGGAGTGGCTCAAGTGGTAGGAGCACCTGCCTAACAAGCATGAGGCCCTGAGTTCAAACTCCAGCACCATGAAAAAAAGAAAAAAAAAAAAAGGTTTTGTTTTTGCAATTCTCTTAGTGAAATGGAGCTGGGCATGAAGTGCAGTGGTAGAGCAGTTGCCGTGCATGTTCAAGACCCGGGGTTCCATCCCTTGCACCAGAGGGGATATTTATACAAATGTCTCCAGTATCACCAGTAACACTATCAGTACCTATTTCATTACCCAATGGATCCATCACTTCTAAAGAAGCTGGAAGTATCCAAAGAGAAACTCCTTTCCCCCTACTTATCTGTAAAGGCAGTGAGACTCTAGAATTCTAAGTATTGCAAAACACTGCAGTTTTTCCTGTCATCCAAACAGGAAGCTGTAGAGTGAACTTTAGTCATCATATAACCACTACATTTTTACCTCAATTATCCAAAAGAAAAAAAAAAATCCAACCAATGCAATGCTGGACCAGACCTAAACATGTTAAGTCTAGAAGCTAATTACAACATAGGCAGATCTTTATTTTCTTATGTACCAGATGGAAATAGTTTCCATATATTGTATATTTTGTACAGCTTTCTGATGTCAGGAAATACTAACAGGAAAGCAATTAAAATTTTAGGAGAAATGCATGTAAACTGGAAATTACTTATGTGTCCACTTTTCCCATTTGGGTGAAGGAATTAGGGACAAAGGCAGAAGGCATGACACAAGTAAACAGTAGGGAGGTCACAGGAGAGTTGAATTGTGATATAGCTCTGGAGGACCAAAGCTGCTGTGTAAGCAGTTTAAGCATCTAGGAAGTAATCCAAAGGTACAAGGAAGTCTTGTTCACATGTCTCCTTCATTTTTAATCCCAAGGTAGGTTATAAACAGATTTGACTTTGTGATCATTATTTTGATTAAGAAAACAAAGAAGGGACTCCCAAAGAACTTACACATCTGGTTGTGACCAATGCCCAAAGTCCTGTGTTTTATACCTAGACCCTCCAGGCCAAATCACAGAAGACCTCCCAGAACAGCAAGACTAGTTCGAAAGCAGCCTAAGGACCACTTGAGGATGGAATTTGCTCTCTCCAGCCACTAGCCCTCAGCAGTGGAACCCATGAAGGACCTCTAGCAAGACTCTCTGGGTCTGGTCTAAGGGTCGGCCATTTAGTTCTTGGAGGCCTTGTAACCATTCTGGATGATATCTGCAGTGACACAACGTTCAGGCCATTAAGAGAAATGTAATTGCAAAGTCCATTTCCTCTGCCATTGTCATCCCACTAAACTTTGTGTAAAGCCCATTTTCACCATGTTGTTTCTGAACAGCTTCCTGTTTGTGTATCTTTTTAAGAAAGGAAATTTTTTTGCATAAATGGAAGCAACTTGGCACCTTGGATATCTCTGCCTCCTATGGCTTAAAATCCCAAATCAGAACCTGGAGACTCCAAAAGCCATTTTAAGAGCACCGTACCAATCTTTTCAGAATGGTCCATCAGTAGAACAGTGCCCTGGAAAAAAGGTACTCTATGAGACAGGATGGATATGCATCCCAGTAATTTCCTTCTGGATATAAAGAAGGGAAAGCTTTTTAGAAGAGAAAACAGACTGGCAATCAAAAACACTTGGCTGTGCTTAGCTGTTAGGATAGACAATTCCCTCCTGGGCCCAGAGGCTGCAGGAATCTGAGAGGTGCCCACTATTCTAGCACATATGGCTTTCATTAGCCACCATTTTGCTAGGAAATAATTAAGGGTTTTAAGCTTAATCATTTGTTTGTGCTGGGTGTGTTTTTCTGATCAGTTTGTCTTTCACAAATGAGGCTTTGTTAGTCATAGGGGTTGGTGAAGTCGGATATAATCTTTGTGCTACTCAGTGACGAGCATTACATTCAGCTATTTATGTTCAGTGTTTTCCATATTGTTAATACTGGGAAAAACTGAACAGACTGCCATGCAGATGACCAAGATGAGAAGGGAAAAGATATTTCAGCCTCTACATGATGAAATTAGATTTCTTTACTTACTATGAACTTAAAAGCAGTTAGATGAGAGTCATACCAATTAATACCAAGATCCTCCCTGTCTGGGATCACTTAAATGAGAAATGTCACCAGCACTTTATAACAAAAACATGCACTTTAAAATGCTTTCTCAAGATCCTGGGCACCGTAGTGGCATGCCTGTAATCCCAGCACTTGGGAGGTGGAGGCAGGAAGGTCATAAGTTTGAGGCCAGCCTGAACTACATAGTGAGATGCCGTCTCAAAAAAATCAGAAACCGTGCTTAGAGGTATGGTTCTAGTGGTAGAATGCCTGTCTAGCAAGCTCAAAGCCCTGATTTCAAACCCCAATACTACCAAAACAACAGAAGAAACTAAAAACACTTCCTCAACTTTTCCACCAGAGGAAAAACTCTGCCCTGTCCTGCTAAAAACTCCAGCTCTTTAAGGATGACGGATCCCTATATGCAAATACAGCATCCCATGGACCTTAACACAGGCCTAGCCAGGTGACTGACAATAAAAACTTGCCATTTTTAAGATGATGGATGTTTATTTTACTTAGTGCACATTTTAGGTATTAAATGTGGGAAAGGGATTATTAGCCAGTTAACTTGCTTGATCCTGTTTCAGGTGCATGATTCTTTTGTGCCATGGGACTCTCTGGCTTTCCCTGTGAGCAGAATGGGAATGGTTAGGTTGAAGGGCCCTCGTCACTTGTGGCTCCAGTTGGTTTCCACCTGTTTTAACATCTAGGTATAAGACACTTGATACCACTTTTCATTCTTATGATAATAGCTTACCCTAGCAAAAATCAGAGGTTTCTTTGTTCTCATCATTTAGGTGCTTGGTTGTATTTGTTAGACCTAGCCCTATGCAGAAACTTAATGGTGGTGCTATGGTAAATGATAAGGAACCAACTCTGAGGGAGAAATTGTCCCAGCATTTGCAGATGCCCAGCTATTAACATGAGATCACTAAACAGTGTGGATTTGGGAAGTGATGTGCACAGTGGGCTCTAGCCATAGCCCTTCTGGAGTGACGAGACAACTAACACTCTACAACTGGCAGCACACCATTACATGCATCAATTCCGTGTCAGGGCCTGCATCTAGGAGGCAGTACTGTACTGTTCTGAATGCTGTTAAGGGCCAACCAAGTGCCCCAGACTGAGTTCTCCTTAACATCTCCATTCTTGCAGATCTTGCCCCTTTCTGGGTCCCATCAGCTGACAGAATGGAAGGGCGGTCAGGTTACTGTAAAAGCTCCTTCCTTTCTCACTGCTTGCTACTCTTCCCTGCAGATGCAGATACCTTGTTTCAAACCAGCTGCTAATAATCTTACTGGGTATGATTTCAGTTCCTAACATCCACCTGCAATGATGTTAGATGTGTCCTGCTTCTCACACACACAGAATTCTGCTACAGTAATTGCTGGTGGCACCTGACATTTATGGCCTGGTACTTGTGTATGTCTAATTCTGTACTTTAATCATTACAACTCATATCAGTGACGTCCAGCCAATGCTCTGGATGCTAGACCCAGGTCAAAGACTCCCACTCAGCACCAGGGAAGGTCAGAAGAATGTTACTTCAGAGAGACTGGCGCATTTCCTAATGCTGCTGGGGATTTTAGCTTGCTGGCTCCACCCAGTGGTGGCTGATAAACAGTGACTCCATCCATTACCATTAAGATAGACTTCTTGCTTCATCTATGTTCAATCTTATTTACCTGCGATCAATACATTACATTAGCTGTGCCACGGGACTGATGATCTCTAGCCTCCGGCAATGAGGAAAGATAGAAGGGCAGTATTGATCAGTGCTATGGGATCCGAGGCCCTAATCCTTTAGCCCTCAGGAAACCAGACAGATTCAGCACTTTGACAGCACAACATCTTCATTAGATAACTGGACTCCTTTTCTCAAGAGACCCAATCCGGTCATCTAAGTAAAATAGCCATTTCATTTTCTCTCAGGTCAATTTCACTATCTTTTATTTGTCAGCCAGCTCAGACTCTCTGGGGAAATTCGTGGGTGATTTGAATAGCAACAGCAAGGACATCACTGTTGTGCCTTACACTTCTCTAGCACCTCTTCTGGAGGCATACAAAACCCTTTATAGATTCTTCATCCATTCATACAACATCGTGGGAAGTAGGGCTGAGGTAGAAGTTATCATTAGTCTTTTACAAGGAAAGACACTACCATATTATCTCAAAGCAAATGATTTTAAGAGCTAAAATTCATTTCCTGGCTCTGCTCACCAAATTATGTCCTCATTTAAACATAAACACAATTTGTAGTATGTTGCATGTATACAGAGAGAAACAAAGACTTTTACAATGGTGACCAACACTGCAGCTGCCAAAAAATACCCATCTTAAAAACAAAACTTAAAGCAGCAATCTCATTTTCCCTATAGAATGAAAGCATACTGAACTCTTTACATTTAGCAGTAACCAAACCAAAAGTAAGCTTTAAAGAGTACTTGGCTGAAAAAAGGTGCCAGGAGCCAGAATCTACTTGGTGAGGACAGTAACAACCAGTAGGTGGCAGAAGTTTCCAAGCAGCCAAAACCCCAAAACAAACAGACTTCTTTTCCCTTTCCTGAGGCATGGGTGGAGTTTGCAAAAGAAGATCTATAGCAAGCCAAGACCTGGTCACATAGAGACAGGAAGGACCATCTGGGGGAGGATAATGAACACAATAGGTTGAAGAAGACAGCTGGGGACCTGAATGTAGAATTAACCTTAGGTGACAAATTTTCCCTCATAGGCCAAAGCATGCCCACACAGAGCAGAAGGCTGAATGAAAATCTATCTGGGTTTCAGGTTCTACAGATCCTCATTGCATAATCCTTAGCTTTCCCCTTAATCACTTTAGCTCTACCCCTTGGCTATTCCAGGACCCCCTTCCTCCCAGTTTCCTCCGAGGAAGCAATCTGTGGTTGCAGGCTGCTGTGGCCTTGGCTCTCTGCCCAGCAACTCCGAGGCAAGGGCAGAAAGCTCTGCCCACAATGCCAATGTGCGCGACCTAGGAGGAGGAGGTCACAAGGAAAGGCAGGAAGCATGCACTACCCACTGGACACAGCCCCTTGGTCTCCCTCCTTTCCATGGACATCTGTTCCCTTTTCACACAGCCCATATAAAAATGAAGCAGCAGCAATTTTTATTGAGGGACCTAAACTGAAAATAGGTTTAGAACATAATTTAAAAAAATAAAACAGCAAAAGTAGCAAAAAATATATGACCTTTTTAAAAACATTTTCCTTTTTTTTTTTTTTCCTTTTTTCTTTGTTTTTAATATATAGCAACTGATGCCTCCCAGCCACTAGAGGCACCATACCCAATGGGTAAATCTCTGGTAACGACCCTTTTAAAAAGACATGTAAATATATACTCAGATTTATACACTTTGTGTTTTCTTCATAGCTATGTACAAAGCCCCCAACTCAGGGCTGGGCCCCAAGGTTCCATCACTGCTCCCAGTCTTTGCCTCAACATCCTCTGGTACCAGGTATTTGGTCAGCAAAGCAAATTAGTATTGGAATTAATAAGCCACTGGTACCATCCATCTGGAGCAGAAGTCACCTTCAATCGAGGCCCGAAGCAGTGACCTCCCTGCTGCTGTAGCCCCAAGGACAAGGCACCTGCCACCAGAACACAAGGGGCTGACAAGTCAGGATGAAACAGACAAAGCAACACAAGAATGCCAGGGAAGCTCTCGCTGCCAGCCTGTTCATCCCACTCCCTGGCTCTCCAGACAGCGCCAGCGGCAGGGAGGGGTCTTGGTCCAAAAAAGGACGTGGCCACCGGCAAGTACCTGCCTCTTTGCTCCTATCTCTCACAAGCAGGTTGAGAGGAAGAGGAGGAAGGCCACACAAGGTGGCTGGCCCCTGCCAACAGGAAAGGAGAAGGGGAAAGGCAGTTCAGTCCAGAAGGGAGCTGTGGGTGAGGGACACAGCTGATGATGGAGCTTGGGCAGGAAACGGGAGGCTGGTAGTCAGCGTCGTTTGAGTCCGCCATTGGCAAGCGGAGTTGGGTGTCGGGGCAGACAGGGCTCCTCAGGCAACGGCTCATGAGAGAAGACGGAATCCTCCCCCGAGGAGCAGGTAGAACTTCGGGTGTCAGGGAAGCTGGGAGAGTACTGGTCCAGGGGCATTGACAGGTCCAGATACTCCTGCAACAGGAGAGAATGACTGGTGTGAGGAAGTATTCACCAGATGCACCACATGATGATAGCCTGAGGTCTAGCTCAGGGCAGCCGTACCTGATTGGAGGTCAGGGCCACAATGCGATCCAGGTCTTCTACCAGCTGTTTGAAGGTAGGCCTCTGAGAGGGCACCGCATGCCAGCAGTCCCGCATCATCATGTACCTGTGGCAGTGTGGTGAGGTCAGGGAGGACAGAAGCAGAGAGACGGGCCGGAGAACCTGGGGAAGGGGTGGCCAGGAAAGGCCATTTCCCTCTAGATGAACACCCTCTCCTTCTCCCAATCAAGCCCTATCCCCCCCCCCCCCCAGGCCTGGCTTACAGCTCATTGGTGCAGTTACTGGGCTTGTCCATCCGATGGCCCTCCTTCAACAGCTTGAAAAGCTCCTCCACAGGCACACCAGGGTATGGGGAGCCACCCAGAGTGAAGATTTCCCACAGGAGCACCCCAAAAGACCACCTGCAGAGGAACACAGAGCACTGCACCTTAGGGCACAAAGCTAGGTTCACCACAGGCGTTCCTGCATGCCCCCCACCCCCCCACCCCCACCACCAGAAACCAGCATGACAAGTGCCCATCCTGAATCTGTCCTACCCCAAGCAGCCCTGAACTCCAAAGGGAGCCCCAGTGAACAGTGCAGAAAAGACTGGCCTCCCAGTGAGTGGGAACAAAGTAGGGGGCTAAGATGGTGGTTGTTTTTTCTCCCTAATGGAAGGAGACTCATCAGTTCAGGGGGAATACGGGATGCTTCTATACTAGAGTTCCTCCCATGAATCCCTGGCAATTGCTTATTTCAAACTCACACATCACTCTGGTGGGTGTAGATCCGGTCAAACAATGCCTCAGGCGCCATCCACTTCACAGGCAGCCGGCCCTGTGAGCAGCACGGGGAGATTTTGGGGAGACTGAGGATGGCTCAGAGCAGAGAGGGGACAGGCATGGGACCCAGGGTGGGATGTGGTGTGCACACTTCAGCCTGTCCTTCTGCCCATTTCTCAGGGAGAGCAACCTGGCTAGGCTACAACAGGGCTACCCCAGCAGCTATCCCGTGGAGCAGTGCCAGCACTTACATTGGTAGTCTTTTTATAGTAGTCGATATGGTGAATGTCCCGAGCTAGGCCGAAGTCTGCGATCTTCATCACATTGTCCTCTGTTACCAGGACATTCCTGGCAGCTAGATCTCGGTGTATGCACTACAGAGAGGAGCGTGGGAGGCAGGTAAGGGGCGACGACCTGGAGACATGCCCTACTGTCCAAGAATCTTAGTCCCCTCCGCTCCAGCGCTCATTCTGCAGACAGCAGCAGAGCCTCTTCTCCTGCCCCAGCACCACAGCCTCTGGACATTCTCCTTTCCCCGATCTACTCGAAACACCCGTAGCTGTAGGCTTCTCAATCAACCCAGCAAACCCTCCTTTCAGGCCTCCGTTCCTGATCCGCCTAAGTCTGAGCTTTTGGATTTGCACCCTGAAAGACAGAACCTTTAGTCTGTTCACATGCTCCCAGTTATCAACCCAGGTACAACACACCTCCACTGGGTTGAGGTTGCAACAAAGCCACCGGTGTCCTGAGCACCCAAAACTGTGCTTAACACTCTCATATCCAATCTCCATAACAACTACAACACAGGGATGATTATTCTTATTTTGCACTTGACGAAACATGCAATCCCAGCACTTGGGAGGCGGAGGCAGGAGGATCATGAGTTCAAGGCCAGCCTGGGCTCAAGAAAACAAAACCAACAAACCTCACCCCCACCCCTCAATCCCTGCCAAAATGTAAGATGGCCTGAGGCTATGCAGAAAAGTATAGCGCACAGACTTGAACTTAACTCAGGCTGATCCCAAGACAGCTCGATCACAATGACTCTCCCAACTCAGGCTGCATGGGAGCCAAAGGCAGCACTTGGGTCAGGCGAGCTGGAGTACTAAGTGCTTGCATCCCAGCCCGCCTCCCCTCACCCCAGGGGAGCCTTTAGGTTGCACACCTTCTTGGAGGCAAGATATTCCATGCCTCGGGCCACTTGATAGGCACAGGATACCAGGTCCTTGGAAGAGAGCTGCTCCTCCGGGTTATGGCTGGGATTGTAACAGTACTCTAGCCCCGGAGGCCTCCGGGCCTGCAGGTACTCCCGCAGGTTGCCCTTGGAGGCATATTCCACGATGACATACAGAGGACCTGGGAGCAAGAGGAAGGGGAAGCCACAGGTGGAGTCAGCAGGTGTAACTTCAGCTGGAAGAAGACCCTCCTCCAATGGCATACCATGCCATGCGTTCCGTCCCCAGATGGTAACTTCCTTTTCCTGTCTCACCGAGGGAAGTAAGGGAAGTCATTCTGCTACCCAAAGAACACCAGCAAGATAATTCTTCCCAGGACAGTCCAGAAAGTTTTCAAGTGAAGTGGAGGGGAACAGCCCGAATTTAGATCACAGTTACGTTCCTGCTCCTCTCCACACACTGTGTGAACCTAGGTACCTGTATTCTTGGATGAACAGTAATGGGCACCAGCCCAGATCCCAAGAAATACATTCTAACCTTTGCCAAACTGACCTCTCTACTCAATTCCCCTAAGAGGCTGAGAGGACTTGTCACTAACACCTACCATCCTGTGTGCAGGCCCCCAGCAGGTTGATGATGTTTTTGTGCTTCCCAATCATCTTCATCATCTCCATCTCTGAGATGAGATCTGACAGGTCCTTCTCTGTTGCGTCCGCTTCACACACAAACCAGAGATAGGGTGAGACTCATACTTTGGGGAGAGGGTGGCAGAGGAACAGCCATGGGTCCAGGGAAGGGTGTATACCCAAGAAGACCCTTGTCTCCAGGATTCCCTTCTCTCTTCCCCATTTCCCACTCAAATTGATATTCCTCTCCCTCTTAAAGAGTTGTTGTAATATGTGGTAGTAAGTGTGGTCAGGGATGTGGTGAGAAAATTCACCTAGATACAGGATCCAGAACAGGTACTTGAGCATGGCCAAAGTTGATGCCAAGGAACAGGTGAGAGGATAGCAATCTTAGGGTGTGCAATGCCTCCTTCACTTCCAGGTAATGTAGCAGGTATGGACAAGGAAAGTACCAGAGAGGATGTATACCACTTGGCCGAGGCCCAGTGTGCTTACAAAGGGAAGGGATTCTTTCTACAAGGGTAGAAACATTACTTACACTTCAGCATTTTCACAGCCACTTTGGTTATACGGTTGGGTTTGTCCTTGTCCAGTCCAATGGCCTCTGCTAACACCACCTGCCCAAAGCAGCCTTCTCCCAGGGGCTTGCCTAAGACCAGTCTTTTGGGGAGAAACAGAGAACAGTGAAAGTTGGGACTGGAAAAAGGTCAAACCTCTCCTGCACACCCCACCTCTTACTTTCATATTTCACCCAACTGAAAACTGAAAACAATGGGGTTATTTCTGGAGGCACCTCATACAAATTTACTCCCTAGAAGGCTTTAGTGTGCACAACTTCAATCACTAGAGCAAGCAAGGGTGTCTTCAGAAAGTTGGGGGCTAGACAGAGAGTACCTGTCCCGGGGTAGCTCCCAGCGGGGATCTTCAGGAAGCTCATATTCAGAGACCCCAGCTAGCATGGGAGTCCCACTGGAGGAGAGACGTGAGGGCCGGACCAGAAGAACCCCAGAGTTCATGGACGCGCTAGAATCAGCTGACACCTACAGGGAAGAGTGGGGTCACTCTTCTAGCAAGGAGGGGGGAAGCAGTGGCAGATTCCTTCCAAATCCTCAGAGTGTTCCACCCCAGCACAGCTGCATTTTTCCCCAGCCAGGACTTTAGAAAGACCAGGGAGGTAGGAAGACCAGGTTCTACGACTGATTGATTTCCATCATCAACTAGCCTTTCTGGGTTTCAGTTTACTCACCTTTCAAAAGAGCAGACCAAATGTACTTCATCCAGCTTGACTTTCTGTAACAATTCTATTCCTGTCCCGAGCCTTTGCAAAGACTCTTTCCCTCAGGCAGGGGTCCCTAACCCTAAGCCACTTTCCAGAGTCAGCAGAGTGACCAGTCCCCTCTTCCACAGACAGAACCTTCTGAGTGTTTCATTCCTAAGGGTGGAGGGCACATAGATGGGAGGGGGCATCTGTGGATTGACTTGGGTCCTCTTCTCTACCCTACATCTTTACACCTCTCACTGGACCTGGGGACACCAAATGCATAATATCACTGCATATTTTCTTTAGCTCCACATGCCGGGTGAAAGAAAGGGGATAAAGCTGGGGGGTGGGGAATAGGAATTCATGAGCCAAACCGGCATGGGGCCAACTGTGGAGCACCTAGTCTAGGACATTCTACTGTGCCTGTCCCAGAAGTCAGAAAGCAAAACCTGAAGCGATAGATTAGAGACAGTGGAAGGGTCCCTGGTGGCCCAGGGAAAGAAGGTGGCGGAGAGCATGCAAATCCCCCATCTACTTTCTGTTACCTGTCTGCGCAGAGGGATGCTCTTGGCCAGCTTGTGCACGGCCATCTGGCTGTGGAAGTCACTCTTCTTGGTGCCGCTCTTCATCTTGTAGATGACCACAGAGCCCACCATGCAGGAGATGAGGAAGGCCCCCGTGCAGTAGATGATGATCTCCAGGTACAGGGGTGATGTCATCACAGCTGGTCTTTCTTCCAGGGCTGAGTCAGTGTGAAAAGGGAGTTAGCAGGTTCTGGGGGCCCCACCCATGAGGGGCCCTGCTCCATAAGAAACTCACACTGTCTCCCTTCCCCTGGGAACTTTTAGGGAGAGAAAACCCAAGCCAGGTCCTAGCTAGGGCTGGATTCAGGCAGAGAGGACCAGATGACCTATGACCGCTGAGGTTTCCTTTAAACTGTGTTGAAATCCACAGACAGTTGAACTAGACCACTTTGCCATACAAGTCTCATGCTCAGTCCTTCTGGAGCCGCCTGTCCAGCTAGACTGCTGGGCTACATGGGTAATAGGGGGCAGCTGAGAAGCCCCTCTGCATGTCTGTCTCAGTCTCCTTGTGGACACTGTGCCCTTCTCTATACTGTGCTCACATTCTTCACACGTGTTTGAGTCCTTGTTCCCGAGGGGCCAGGAGGACCTCAAGGGCAGGGCTGATACCTTGTTCTGTATGCCACACAGCACCTGGCATATGGTGGCACTCAGAATTAGGACAAATGAAGGAAGGCCAGGAACCAGATTCTGTCCTGACTAAATGTCCTACCCTGTATCTGGGACCAGATTCTGTCCTGACTAAATGTCCTACCTGTATCTGGGTCAGAATAGGCAGGTAAATATTTATACCTGGCCCAAACCTCAGGCAAAACTGATTTAATTCCCAAACTTTTTTTTTTTTTTTTTTTTTTGCAATTCTTAAGAATTTTACTCATAGGCCCTCTAGGACTCTTTAGATTTAAGGAAACAAATGCCAGGGGACAATATTTGATGTTCTTCCTCTATCTCCCATTTAGAGTGCATACCCAACTCCCACAGAAGCCAAACCAGTCAGTCCATCTTTCCCTCAACACAAGACACATGGTGTGGGCTTCACAGGACTTCCTTGCCCCAACATGTGGACAGACCTCCTCCTTCAGTCCTCCCCTTTAAAACAAGCCAGCCACGGGGGAGATGGCATCCTGAGAACCCTTCAGGAAGGGCATAAGGCATAGCCTCTAAGTAGCCTTGAGGCCTGACAAGGAGACAGCAGAGCCCATGACAGGGAGAAGTGTTCTGTTTTTTCCTTTCCCTGATGTTGAGAAACAAAGACAACTCATTGGGAATACAGACAGGACAGAGACTGGGACAATAATAAAAACAGAACTCTTCTCTGCCACAAGCAGGCATGAGACCCTGCCGGGCAAGCAAGGCAGAAAGGAGCAAGAAAGAACAGAAAGGAGGGCAGGGTCAGCAGCCACAGAACAGAGCAATGCACAGGCCATATGCAGGACCTCAGAGACACAGACACAACCACATGGCTACAGTCACCAACCACCACCCAGTGCAGGCCTTGGACTCCTTCCTTCCTGGCTCAACACAGACCTTCCTTCTTGAGACAGGAGAGATAGCAATAAACCAAGAGGACAAATGGGACAACCAGGCCTCCTGTGGCTGCCTAAGACAGGCCTTACTACAGACAACTGTCCTGGCAGCTGGAAGGGCAGGTCAGCTTGGGTCCGTGCAAGCAGTAAGCCCTCTTGGCCAAGTGCCTCTGGTTAGAGAAAGGAGGAGCTGAGCCCTTTCTAAGACTCTTGGCCAAAGAGGATGAGATAATTCAGACACTTGGTACCAAGTGGATGAGCTGCTGGGCCCAAGAATGGAAGGAGCCTGCTCTGAAAGAGCCCAGCTGTGAGGCAAACCCAGCTCCTGTGCATGCATTGCACTGGCCAAGGGGAGAGCCAGATGCAGGTGTACAGGGGGAGGCTTCTGAGTTTCTGCAAAACCATGAAGCCCCTGAGTGATCTGAGAGGCTTCAGTCATCAAAGCTGGAGCAAAAAAGGACAGGCAGGCAGGAGCCAGCCCTCTATCTTCCTCTCTCAGCTGTATCCCCCCAGCCCTGCAATGCATGCATGCCCCAGTGCTGTGGCAAGGGCAGGACATGGAGAAGTGCAGTGTATACCTTCCAAAACGGTCAACCATGCAGAGTGATGGGAGAGTCCGATAGAGTTACCCGCCAAGCACGTATACTCCCCTGCGTCCTCAAAGGAGACATTTCGCAAGTGAAGCACCTCCATCTCTTTGTCGGTGGTGTTAACTCCGGCAGTCTAGAAGAGACAACGGAAGCAATATGGACAAGCACAGGACATGAGACCCTGGAGAGACACAGAGAAATGGAGGGAGAGAGGAAGGGACACAAAACCAGAGGCAGAAATGCTCCCCAGCATCTCCTTTGCGACAAGGAAAAAACAAAAACCACCAGGCAGCGAGACCTGTTAGAGGAAAAGCGTGAGACCCTAAGGGAGGAGCTCTGGCAGACCTGAGATGATGATGGCTGGTTACGACCCTTCACCAGACGCTGGCAGCCACTGGCCCAGCCAAGCATGCGGCTGGCGGTGGGCAGCATGGAGAAATGCAGCCTGGCAGGTGGGGGCTGTTTGGTTTTGGGTAAAGAGAGTCAGAGGGTACACACGGTAGGGAAGAAGGGCGGTCTCTCTCTCTCACTCACTGGTGCTGGTCTGCAAGGGAATGTCTGATTCCTTCTCTTACCCACCATGCAAATCTTCAGTCTAAAGTACTATTCTGAACACAGAAACCTGTTCTCCACGAGCCCACACAACATGTGCATCCACACACATACACACATACAATCAAGGAACACACATAAGGCACAGAGGGAGCCAGCAGACACCAACACAGTACCAAACCAAACCAGCCTCCCAAGCCGGGTATTTTTCCATGGCTCTGGGCACTAGGAACATAGGAGGATGACAGGAGAGTCGGTGCTGGCTTCCCCACCTGCCCCAGCAGCGTGGGGCCTAAGTCAAGTTCCCAGCACAGGGTCCCATCCATCTCCCCATTACCTTTTGCCACAGGTCTGGTGACAGTGAGCCACGCAGACTGGTTAGCTTCACCAATATAATTGGAAACCTTACACACATACTCCCCGCTCTGGGCCTCTGTCACATTGAACAGGGTCAGCACCTCCGCATCTGAGCTATTAATCCCCGAATGCTGGAACAAACCAACGACACACAGTCAGTTGGGCAAACACTGAGATGCGGCCATACTTGCTCCTGGGAACTTTCAGGAAGCCAAGTCAAGGGAGACACTGAGACTTATAATCTTTCCTTCTGAGTAGGACAAAACAAGTTGGCTTCAAAACATTTGACTGAATTTAAAAAAAAAAAAAAAAGAATGAGAAAGAAGAATAAAAATAAAGAAGTCACTGTCCAAAAGCAAATGCTCTGCTTGTGTTGAACCCACCCCTCCAGGACTGGGCAGGGATTGTGAATGAACACAAGGACCACAGCCCTTTTTATCCTCCAGAAAAGCTTCAGCACCAGTGGTGAAGAGAAGGAACAACCAGTAAATCTTTGGGACAGGGGAAGAGAGGTCTAATTCTGGGACAAGGAGGTCAACCATTTTCCCAGGTTCTGATTACTTCCTGTTGCAAGATCCATGGAGATTTAGCCAATTACCTTCCCTGGATTAATGGAGCATTCAGGGACAATGACAGTCTGGGAGTGAGAGGAAAAAGGAAGAAAATGCTATTACTCCTTGTACTGCTTAGAATTTATATGTGGCATTTGCTTTTCCAACTACTTAAGCAGTGCCCTTATCATTCATTCTCTTTGCCAGAGAGGTCATAATGGGAAGCAAGCAGGGCTGAGACTGGGAAAACACTCACTAGAAGTCCTAGTAGATTTCCTCTTAATGATCTTTAGAAACTGGCTTCAGCATTGCCCTCTGCCAAGCCCTGTTCCCACCTCCCCTCCACTTTGTGATCTGTCACTAGTCTGTGACTAGATCCCTACTAAGATGGAATGTGTGCCTGAAGGTTAAGATGGAGCCCTAATCCTGGCACTGAACCTGACCGCAGGCTCTTGATCCCCTAGGGGGCATTGGTCACCTTCCCAGCAAATTGGCCCACAAAGACTAGGGCCAAGATTACCTTCAAGATCTGAACATAAGGCAGGTTGTCCGGACCAATCTTACTCCCATTCACCTCGATGTGCTTTAGCCACTGGATGTGGGGCTGTGGGTCACTGTACACCTTACACATGAACTCCACATTGCTGCCCAGGGCCACTGTCTTGTTGGCAGGCAACCCTGCCTGCAGGATGGGCCGGTGAGGGGACCGCTCTGTGGAAGAAAGGAGAAGACAGGCTCATCACACCCTGCTGTGTCCTGGTCTGGCTGGGATGCTGACAAATGGCTTCATCCTAAAGAGAGTTACACTCACATCAGTGTCCTCTTGGCTTTGCTAGTGCTTTTGCAGATCCCCAGCCCCTTGACCCTGAGCTGTGGAGAAGGGATACCATCTCTTCCAGTCCCCAGCCATCAGGAACCTCTTCTCCAAGGCAACACATTCATATTGACAGGCATAGTAAATCTCTCTTATCTAAACGGAGAACTCCATAACTTTAGTCATGTCCCCAGACTCCAGCACAGTCCAATTCTCAAATTAAATCGGAGTCCCTTAGACTCCTGCTGTTCCTAGTGAAGCCCAGGAAAGCAAGAACTCCAGCATTACCAGGCAGCTTATTGGAAATACAAGAATGTCAGACCCCACACCACACTTTCAGGACACAATCTCTTTCTTAGACTACAGCATCAAAGCTGAGGGAAGAGGCTGGCCATGAGATTCTGTAGCTTGCGATGTCTGCATGTGATCCGAAACCTCTAGAAGGATCAGGCTATAGTAACAGCCCTAAGAGAGCTGCTCCTCCTGGCGTCTCTTGTGATCCTCAACATCCCTGGTGGGGAGGGGTCCAAGCATGGATTGGGTATTCACAGGGCATCTGGCCTCCCTGAGCCTCAAGAGCGTGTGTGCGTGCATGCATGAGCTCATGTCTATGGCTACTCTGATTTCTGCCCTGCAGGGATGCCATAAAGATGTGCAGGGAGTGGGTTGAAAGAGACGGACATATTGGTGGCATTCATTTAAGCAGTAGCTGTTATTATGCTACATTTAACATCGCTGCACCAAGTGCATCATTCAGGATAGACTAGCAACAACAGCACCTTCTGCTTTACAGTGAGATGTAGCTTTGGACATATTCCTGTCTGGCCCTCTTCACTCTGTATTACAGATAAGGAAAGTAAAGCCAGGAATCTGGGACTCCATGGCTGTTTTCGTCTTCCCTGCCCTTTCCTCCATGCTCCTCCTGCCACCCTGGCCTTCTTACCCACAACATCGAGCTGGTAGGTGTGGTTAATGCTGCCATACTCGTTCTCCACGATGCAGGTGTAGTTGCCCTTATCAGAGGGCACTACGGAATCCATTATGATGCTCCAGGTGGCATAACGGACCTGTGAAAATACATGCCAATACACTCCACTGAGAGTCTGGGGAGAACACAGGCAAAGGCACAGGGCAGCACAGGCACCTGTGGCACAGCCCCTCCAAGCCAGAGCCAGCAACACATGGCCCCATGCTGGAGGCTAACCAGAATAAGGCATGAAGGGCCCCACTCTCAGCCCATTTATACTTGGAAGGAAAACACCAAGAGCTCTGAACGCCTGATATATGCAAGATCAGCATGACCTGGACAAATGTCCCTTCTGCAAATTCTCCCAAACTCACAACGAACCTTCTATCTCTGAGTCTATACCTAAAATAACTCTCTTGCTAAACCTGTCCCTGGCCGCCCTGGACACCTCCTTCTGCTGAATCTCTGGCTAGATATGTTCTCGTCCTATCCTGTGTAACTCCTCCAAAGCACTGATCATGGTCTGCTGTTTACCACTGCTGCTCCTAGACACCTGTCCTCTTATGAGTCTAGAAAACCTAGTAACTTGCAGATGGTAAGTTCTTGCACATTAACTAAAAGCTTTTCCCTATTCTTTCTGATTCTCTTTGCTTTTCTCATACAAGAGAAGCAAGGGGAGGCCAGAGATAGACTATGAGAATGCTCAAAAACTCTAGAGAAGGGATTATGATCAAGATGTTCTTCCTACAAGTAAATGGGCCAAGGACATAACAGACAATTTACAAGAGAGGAAAGGAAAAGCCAGGTACTGGTGGCTCATGTCTGTATTCCTAGCTATTTGGGAGGCTAAGATCGAGAGGACTGCAGTTTGAGGTCAGCCTGAGGGAAATAGTTCTTGAGAGCCCCATCTGCATAAATAACCAGAGCAAAATGAACTGGAAGCTTGGCTCAAGCAGTACAGTGCCAGCTTTGCAAGTGTGAATGAAGCCTTGTGTTTAAACCCCAGTCCCATCAAAAAAAAAAAAAAAAAAAAAAAAAAAAAAAAAAAAGGCTTATTAACAAAACTTATAACATTAATTAAAAGAAACAACAAAACAAGAAAATAATGAAGTGCTTTGGGTATGCTGAATTTGTTGGCAAATGTCTACTGAACTTGTCATTCTCATACTCTGAGAAAGTGATTCATTTTTTCCCTTTTGTGGGGAAGGAGTGCAGTACTGGGGTTTGAACTCAGGGCCTTGAGCTTGCTAGGTAGGCGCTCTACCACTTGAGCCACTCTCCTTTTTCCTTTTAAAGTGGTTAATAGGGGGCTGAGGACGTAGTTCAGTGATAGTGTGTGCTTAGCGCGAAGGGGAGAGGTAAGCAGGAGAAGGAAGGGGAGAGGAGAAGGAAAAAAGGAAAGAAAGGAATGAAAAAGAAAAAGGAAGGAGAGAAAGGGAGAGAGGGAGCAAGGAAAAGAGCGAGTGTGTGCTGCATGCAAAGAATTGGGTAATGTGCACCACAGCTTAAAACATTCTTATACTCTTTGACCTGGTAATGTCATTTCTAGCAGTCTATCTTAAGAAAGCACATTTTAAAATGCTGATGAAGCCATCTGCTACAACATTACTTACAGTGAAAAACCAGGAAATACCTAATATCATTAAATAGTTCGTTAAATTATGGGATACTTTTATAATGGAATCTTAGGCAGCCATGAAAAACTATATTTCAGTTACGCTTGAGTAACGCAAAGCCAGGAGCTGGTGGCTCATGCCTGTAATCCTGTCTACTTGGAAAGCTGGCATCAGGACTGAGGTTAGAGGCCAGCCCAGACAAATAGTTCTTGAGACCCCCATCTCCAAAAGAACCAGAATGGACTGGAAGTGTGGCTCAAGCAGCAGAGCATGTGCTTTGTAAGCATGAAGCCCTGAGTTTGAACCCCAATACCACCAACCCCCCAAAAAAACCTCATACACACAAAGACTCATGACATTATGTTAACAAATGATAAGAAATCATATATACAATATGATCGATCATGTAAAAACCATACACAGAAAAAGACTAAAAAGATCTTTCAATTTTACTTACTTTGTGTGAAAAATTTAAGAACACATTATCATTATAGGTAAAAAGTATTATTTAAGGGCTAATGGAGTAGCTTCAAGAGGTAGAGCATCTGTCTAGCAAGTGAGAAGTTCAAACCCCAGTCCCACCAAAACCAAACAACCTCCCAAAAAAAAATCCTAAAAATGTTACTTAAAACAATTAAAGTGAGTGGTACAGCATGTGTTTAGCATGCTCCAGGTTCAGTTCCCAGCACCATCATCCTCAGAAACAGTATCAACAAAAGGTATATAATAAGGACTGTCTATCTCAGCATCTTCCATTCCTCTTACTCTAACTTTTCTAATGTTCATACACACATACCTTGTAGCCCCCAATCCTGTGGTCAGGTTTGAACTCTTTGCCATTTTTCAGCCAGCGCAGTGTGGGGTTGGGCGTCCCACTGGAAGGGCATTTGAACTTCACTGTCTTGGCAGCTGGCACTGCATGCAATTTCTTTTCCATTTTTTCTGGGGATGTCCAATATGGAGCTACGGCTGCCAGTGAAAACCAAGAGAGACAAGAAGGGGTTTGGGTAATGGACAGGCTCTGGAGCAAGGGCCTAGACAGAACCAGCTGGCACCTTGCCCATCTGCCCCGCACCTGTGAGCAATGACCGGCACTCATCAGGACATTTAGAGGGATAGCAGCCAGACACCATGACCCCATATGCCCTCTGCTTCCCTCCTGCTTCTGCCAGGCCCCCTCTCTCTTAGACCCAACTCCAGGCCCCAAAGGCAGCAAGGTAGGAAACAGTGTCTCACGCATACGGTTTGGTTTGGTGTTATCTGTCTCTTTCTCCTCTGAGGAGGAGTCGTCATCATCGTCATCATCCTCTGAAGAGGGGAGAGCATCTGTGGGAAGAAGGGGGACATGAAGTCCCTCCAAGCACTTCTGGATTTCCACCCACAATATCACTCACACACCCCCTCTCCCGCCAAGGCCAATATAGTTAGAGATGTACACATTCGCCTCTCCTCATAGACAGAAACTTAAGTATTGTGTGCTCCAGTGCTCTTCTCCTTCCTTCCCCAACCTAACGCACTGCCCCTCTGCCCTTTATACTGGATGGCTCCAGCAGGGTCCACTGTTCATTTTAAGTTTAATTTTAGCCTGTACCCTGAGACTCTCTCTCTTAGCTTATGATACCCCCTGACTGCCCAAGGTCTCAGAATAGCAGCCACGAACCTGCATCCTTTATGGACACCAACCACTGGAAAACCTAGGATGGTCCTAAGGACTCTGGCTAGAAGGTACTCCCAAAGCCATGGGCCAAACACCCTGCAGTCAGAATCTTCTATGCGTGGATCTGCTGAGGCCTAGGAGCTGATCTTTTTAACCAGGCCACATTCCCCTAGTATGCACCCCAGGTGAGAATGGGCTCCACTCATGTGGTCAGCAACAAGGTGCACACCAGAGCTTTTCCCCATCCTTCCTGGCATTCCTGAGGATCTGGGGGGCAATGAAGAAAGCAGTCCTTCGATCAGGGGTAGGTTCTTAATGATGCTTGGGAGGAGGTGCCAAGCCCACATCCTCAGGTGCACAAATAGCCTGAAGATTTCAGCTCTACTTCCTTGAATCCTAGTTTTATTAGAGTCATATTTGGAAAGAGGCAGATTCCCAAAGTCACAGAGCTCTAGGGCTCTTTGGCTGCCCTTGAACAGTTCCAGGAGCCAGTGAACAGGTGTTTCTACCCAGCCTGTGGGCAAGGCATTGCACCTGAGTCCTCACCACAGTGGGGACCTCACCACATGCTCTGGTGTTCTAACCACTAAGCTTAGCACCAAGTCCAATGGCAAGGCTGTAACAGGATGGAAGCTGACTGAGCCCCACTACATATCCAGAGACCTGGGAAAGTTGTGGAAAAATTGTAGGGTCTTAACACGCCAAGAGCATCCACAAACACCCAAGGTAGGTCCTGAAAGCCCCAGATCTCTGGCCTGGAGCCCACCCTGCCTAATCATCCCTTTGAGAGCTAAGCCACGCAGCGGGCAGGGAGCAGTGTTAGTGGGCAGCAGTGTCTGAAGCAGAATGGGGAAGATCATGGAAGGGAAGGAGTTTCACCTCCCCCTGAGACTAGCAGAGAGAGGCAAAGGGTTGGATCCAGGGGGAGGAGGAGGGGAAGACATTGCTACCAACCTGAGACATTGACGGAGAAGTAGGTGGTGTCACTGCCAGAGGGGCTGCTGGTCACGCAAGTGTAGAGGCCGGAGTCGGCCGGCACAGAGTCCCGCACCTCCACCTCCTCCCCTGTGATGCGGGTACGGTTGCTCTCCACCAGCTGCACCCCGTCTCGCAGCCAGTTGATACTCTGCACATCATCCCGCAGCCGACAGCGAAGCTGCAGCAGGTCACCAGGGTGGACCAGGAGGGACTCCACTTCCACGGGGGCTCCCCAGGGCTGAGCTGCAGCCACCCACGGGGGCCAGGAAGAGGAGCCAAGGAAGGAAAGGAGGAGGGGAGAGAAAAGGGAGTTACGCCAGCCATGGCAAGCTGCATGTACCACGCCTCACTTACTCAAGGCCACAGAGCTAGGGAGGTAGGAGTGGAACACAAGTCAGTCAGAAATAGCTGGCTACCTGGAACTCCCATCTCTTCTCCCCACTCTCTCCTCCAGAAGTCAAAGGAAGAAAGAAGCAAAGTTAGGAAGCAGCTGCGGCAGCATTAAGCAGATCACATATCGTTTCCCTTCATCCTAGGGGGAGAGATCAGCCCTCCCTAGGATTTCCTTGTGTCCGGACTGCCTCCTCTCCACACACTGCTCAATTCTTTGCCAAGAATGGCCACTTCCCAGAAGAACACCCCATTCCTTTTGGCTGGTTCAGTTTCAGTCCTTTCCCTAATGAACAAACCTCGCCTCTCACAAACTGAGCAGTCTCCACCCAAGTTGAGAGCAGGCACTTTTCGTCAACTGGGGGCTCTGGGTTCGCATGACTCAGACAAGGTGGGGCCAGGCCCCCAATAAGCCAGATGCATATGTGAGAGGGCCAGTCCAAGGAGAGGTCAACTTAGGGGAGCCTCCAAGTGAACAGGTGCCAGGCCTGAGGATTTGGAGCCTTTGCCTGTATTAGGAATGGAGGCCTGCAGCTGCCACAACACCACACTTGCCCTGGCAGCAGAAGCTGCTGCACACAAAGCCCCTTTCTGCTCACCCTCTCTTGCACCCCGCTGTCATCTACACAATATCTTCCCTACACACACATGCTTCTCCAGCAGAAGTGCTGGAATTGCCAGGGTGTACAGAGCTCCCAAGATAAATGCTACCAGGAGCTCTCACCCCTCTTCTGGGTGAACTGCTACCAAGAAGGCCGGTAAATCACAATGCACCGAGGCTTCAACCATCACAACTAAGTATCCCCATCTTTGCTAGCAAAGGGAGAAATGAAGTTTCTCTTTTTCTTTTTGGGATGCTCAAACATAACTCTTCTTTCACCAAAAGAATGCACTGAGTGCCTCTCACACCTGCTGCCTGACTTTGGTCTCCACTGCCTTAGAGATACCCACCTGTTCACTGTTAAGAGGCAACTCGTCACAGGTCCTTGAGGCTGTGAAACACAGCATACTCTTCCTTTTTCCCTACTCTGACTCATAGTTGTTCATGGTCCACAGGGCCCTCATCCTTTGCCTGGCTCCCTCCAGTGCTCAGCCTGCAGGTCCTCCAACTGGAAATTGCTCTCACTCCCAGTCTGGTAAGAAGGTGGGCTGTGTCATATTAACCTTCAAATCTCTGACAGCCAGAGAGCTGCTTTCAATAAATACTCGCTGAATAAATGACACAGGTATAGTCTGCTCACTGTCTTCCTTTCTGAATTCCCTCACCTGAATTCTCATTTTTATGAACCTCTTTCTGAAATGCTCTGAAGTCAGGCCCAGTTTCTCTGAAATCACTTGGGCCTTAAAGTTCAAAGTCAGCAGAAGCAACACAGTGAGACCTTGTCTTATTTAAAAAAGAAGAAAAAGAGAAGAAAAAACGTAGCTGAGCATGGTGGCACGTGCCCCGGGGGAGGGCGGAGCATGTGTAGGAGCTGGCCCTAGACCCAAAAAAAAAAAAAAAACCAAGACCAGATTTGAAAAATAACTAAAGCAAAAAGGGCTCAAGTGATAGAGCACCTGGCTAGCAAGTACTAGGCCCTGAGTTCAAATCCCAAGACCTTCAACAAAACAAGAAAGAAAATGGATGTTCACATTGGAAGGCACCAGGGACTGGCAGCAGCTTTCCTCCGAGGGGCCTTGCACCCTGGCCTACATCAACCAAGGGTTCCATATTGGGTCATCAGAAATGGGTGCTGCTCTAAAAGGGTTCAGAAACTACTAGGCCAGCACACACTGATCTTTGAGAATCCAGTCAAGTGGAATACCACAAAGGTGAGCAAAACACATGGGTGACTATCAAACTTTTGTGGGTCTTAGAAGAAGTTATTCTTTCCATTTTCAATTGTTTGTGGTTTTGCAAAATGACTTGACCCTTAAGGAAAAGAGCAGACACTCCTATTGATCAAATCTGATTTTCCTCAAGTGATTTTACTGATTAAATATTTTGCAGTGCGTGATCTGCACCAGCCGGTGGTCAATAATGAACTGTAATTCTTAGACTGGCACCACATGGCCTATTTTCACAGGTCCCAGAAATGAAAAGCAGTTCTGGGACCACAAAAAGCACAGCAAGAACACATGAACACTTGCTACAAAGAGAAAGAAGCCCAAGAACCTGGGCCTGCTGAGACCTGCTCTGGGGGAGTCTCACTTTGGATCTATAACTTCCAACCAGCCCCAACCTGAATGTACAAACAAAACTCTCCTACAGCTGGGCACTGGTGGACACGCCTATAATCCTAGGTACTTGGGAGGCTGAGATTAGGAGGATTGCAGTTCAAGGCCAGTCCGAGCAAATAGTTTGTGAGACCCTCCCCCATTCCAAAATAACTAGAGCAAACTGGATTCGAGGTGTGGCTCAGCAGTAAAGAACCTGCTTTGCAAGGGTGAAGCCCTTGCAAAAAATAAATAAATAAAAATAATAATAATTAAAAACCCTCTTCTACATGATCTATAAAAAGCCTCTAGAATCAGCTTTCTTTTCTCCTAATGCAATTGCTTTGATCTGGTTCTCTTCCAGATGTGACTCTGGCTTGCCTCATTCTCTCCCATTCTGGTGCCATTTTGGGATAACCTTGTACATGTCTTTCTTATGGTAAGAGTTCAGACTCACCCCGATTTCCCATGTTGTTCTCCTGATCAAGATCCTATACCACATACAAGGTAGTACCTGCTTGGCCTATATCCTGGCAATCTGTTCCTACCCACCATCCAACCAAGAACCCTCCATTCCAAGTTGGGCTGTTCTCTGCCCCAGCTGCATCCTTCCCTTCTGACTACCTTACTTCTGTTGACAATTGTCAGCATCTCTCCTGCCACAGATTATTCAAAGTCCACCATAAAAAACATCCAGGTGGGCAGCTGGAGTGGCTCAAGTGGTCCAGTACCTGCCTACCAAGTGTGAGGCTGAGTTCAAACTTCAATACCACCAATATAAATAAATAAATAAATAAAACAAAAAGTCCAGACAGCCGTTAGTTTTCATTTTGAACCAGAGAGAGAATTCACAGAGTATAAAATCCACCCATTTAAAACATACAATTAAATGTTTTTTAAGTACAGTTGTCCTTTGGTATCTGTGGGGGATTGGTTCCAGGTCATGCTGAGGTTACAAAGTCCACAAATGCTCAAATCCTCCTCATACTTTATACCATTTCTACACTGCTCGTAACACTTAATACCATGTAAATAGTTGTTACATTGTATTTCAAGAAAAAAATCTGTACAATTTTTCTCCAAATATTTTCCATCCATGGTTGATTGAACCCACAAATGCAGAACAAAGAGGACTGACTGTATAGTCACAAATGTAAAATCACCACAGCTTAACTTTAAAATATTTTTACCACCTTCAAAAGAAACTCTGTACCCAGAAGTCACTTCTTGGCAACCACTGATTTGTTTCCTCTCTTTATAGATTTGCCCATTCTGTGTATTGCCTATGAATGGAATAGAATCATACAATATACTGTCTTTTGTGACTGGCTTCTTTCTTTCACTTTGTGTTGTGTGGTTGAGGTTTGTACATGGTGTAGCATATCTCAGTACTCTATTTCTTTTAATGGCTTAATAATGTTCCACTGTGTGGACATACCACATTCCGTTTGCAGTTGATGGTCATGAGAGTATTAATTAATAAATGCCTATTATAATTTTCTCATAGCACCTAACAATGTCAGAAACATAGAAACTATTCAATAGTTTCTGAATTTAACATCTGACAAAAGCTAATTTTCAGAGGAACCAAAAATCGGCCAAGGGCTCTGAGAGTATTTAGTGGCTGTTGTCATTGCTAGTCGTATCCTTGGATATGTATCAGGCGCTCCACTTACAAAGCAGGGATTATGCCATGTTTTTCTGGAAGGGATAGAAAGGTAATCAACAACTTGTTTGCTTACTAGACTCTGCCATCTTAAGTCACCACCCTGTGGAGTAGCTCTGACCTTGACCCTGTCCTATGGGGTCAAGCTAGCTAATTTGAGGCATCACTGCTCACTAGCAACCCACACCTAGTAAGTCACTACTGCCCATTCTCTTAGGTCCTTCCAGAGTCCCTCACATATGTCCTCTTTGGAGAAGAGGTGTTTTTCATCCCCACTCCAGCTCCTCTGAGCTGGTCTTTTTCAGTCCCCCAGTGAGCCGTGGCTATGTACATTAAAGGTGCCCGTTAGCAAGATATGAGAGAACTGACACCTTTATACTTAGCTAGTCATGAAAGATGAAGAAAAGAAAGCCATTTTATTGCTCGGCCACTTGAAACCAACATTTCAACACTTGGAGAATCTTGCTCATTAGAATCAGGCATGAGAGAGAGAGAGAGAGAGAGAGAGAGAGAGAGAGAGAACAGGCATGAGCTTGCTTCCTGGGACAATGCAGATGCTAGTTAAACCATGGAAAGTCATGCAGGCCCAGACCAGGGCTCCCAAATGAAAGAAGTCTCATACACTGACCCACTCTGCTTCTCTCTTAGATGGACTCACACTTCTCAATAATTCTCAAGCAGGCAGCTCTAATAGGATATGTGAGCGTGGGCTTGTGCACGTGCGTTTAAAGGGACTTTTTCTTAGTGCTTTTATGTCCCTCTCCCTCCCTACTAACCCTCCAAGTACTGTGACTGTAACTCCCAACAAGGCAATAGGTGTGGCATTTGCTTATGGCAGGACTGGCTAGAAATCTCCCAGTCATTTAGCAAGTGGTTCTGCCCTGGGTACATCAGATCAGATCTAAGCCCTTGATTCTAAGAGTGCCATGTTTTCTCCAGGCACAGGAACTATGCAGGCAGGGGAATAGAGCCTCGAGGAAGCCCAAATCCA